ATAGAGCAGATTTCAGTACCTGCATTAAACACTTGTGTTAAAATGTTAAGGGAAGGCGATGAGCGAACGAAAGCCATGTTCTTACTAGCAATGCTGGATATGCAGCAAAGTAAACCGATGAGGGTGAACATGAAAGAACCTGAAGAATTGGAACCCATGAAAAAGATAGACGAGATCAGGAGATTCTCAAACAAGGAGTTGAGGCTCACTAAAGAATCTATGGGAGCATTGCCGAAATCCAGTGAATACTGTGGATCGATCAAGAAGAATCCATATAGCTATGTGTCCGGGATCATAGGGATAGCGTACAATCCTTTCCTGAGTGAAGACATACGTGATTGCTTCTTTGATTATGAGCAGGCGGTGTTACTAAGGTTCTGGACGTCCAGAATTGTAACGATCAAGAGCGTTAACAATCCACAGGCCAAATTGGGACTGGTCTTGGAAGAAGAGGTGACTGCACCTTCAGTACCAAAATCCGACAAGAGAGTGGAATTTGGGTTGGGATTCTCAGATGAATTACTGAGAACGAGCTTGATGGCAGTGTGGGAATTGATGAAGCCATCATGGTGTCCTAGTCCCAACGCTGACTCAATATTACGGGCGACACAAGACATACAGAGGGAACTGAATGCGGACTGTAACCTGCGTGACCTCAACATCATATATAATGTGATGATAACAGCCTCTAAGAGCAAAGGAGAAGATAAAGTGGAGTTGCCTGGCTGGGGACCAGAAGACTGGGTCAAACCTGGTAGCTGTCTGGCGGAAGTCTGTGGACTAGAGGGTCACGTTTGTGGAAGTCTAGACTGTGTGAAAACCCTGGAGAAACAACACAAGCAGTTGACAGTATTGTTTGGAAATGTAGTGATGAAAGCAAGAACGGAAACGGAACTGATAGCAGATTGCCATGGAGGAACCGATGTGAATCTAGTGACAGCACTAGGATTCTACAGCATGTTTGGTTCTTTAGAGTCACTATTGAATCTAGAACAGAAACATGAGATGGTCACAGCCATCAGCGTAGAAGTATTCCCAGGAGTTCTGCAGACTGAGCAGAAGTATATAGGAAAATGGAGGGAAGCAATCGAAACAGAGATGAACATCAGACACAGCGAAACTTATTGTAGACCATCAGAAGCACGATATTTGGTGGGTTCAACGTTGGCTCCAATGTGCAAGAGCAGATACCCTGTACATTTTGTGGCTGTGGACGTGAAGAGTACAAGAACGATCGTGGATCAAGCTTTCTCAGTGCCAAAGTGCGTGAGATTGGCGAGAATGTCTGAAAAGTCTTACGAGTCACTATGTAAGATGTTCTCAGCAGTTCCAGAGAGAACCAAAGAGGAGTTGGAGTCAATACTAGGAAAGAAGTTCATGGGATATGTGAGCGGGAACTTCAGTGACTTTGAAAAACAGAAACAGAGAGGATCAACTGTCACAGATTACAATGCAGTAGATGAGAATGATGAAATCCACCGAGTGATGATGGAAGTGGAACCATTGCTGGAAGCTTCAGGAAAACGCAATTGGAGGAGCATCATGTTGACACATGACGAGTTTCCTTGCCACTGCTTGCTGCAGACCTGGTGGTATCCCAAGCGTAGTAATTTGGTGTTGATCTGGGACTCTGGAGAGCTGCTCTCCATGGGTTTACCAGATTCATCACAGCCCATAACAATAGTGATAGTGGGAGTTATGATGGCGATACGATGGCTGGAAGCTCATGTGAGAGAAAATAATAGACAGGAGGCACCGACGAGAGAACAATTGCAGAAATTAGATTGTCTAAAAGATTTAGATCTTTTTGAGACAATGTGCAAAGTTCTAAACATTCCGATGGAAGTGAAGAAGATATGGGCAAGAAAACGATTGATGCCATGGTTCAGAGCTAACTTGACTGCCTGGTTGTACGAGTATGCGAAAAAGCATATGTCGAAACATGGCAGAGTGTACAGTGAATATCAGCTGGACATTGGGACAGGAGCTTTCAAGCGAGCTTTCGTGACCCATCGGAATGCAGTGACCACCGCTGTGAAAAGAATTTCCAGGACGAGCGAGCGTAGTGGAAATGAGAAGGCAGAGATGCTGAAAGAAGATTTGGAGAGAAACGTGACGTTGTGTCTCCACAACAGCTTCTGTAGAAACAGAGAATCAAACGTGGATCCCCTACCTTGCTGTAAACAGAGGGTGGAAGAGCAGAAGTGTTGGAGGACGGCTTCCAACAGCGTCAGGATAGTCAATGACGTGCTACAAGACACGGAAACCGAGAGTGCGGAGTCAGCGTCACAGGAGGAGGAAATGGAGCATTGACGAATGGTCGAGAAAACAAGAGGCGGCAAGAAAGAAAATTAGAAGAATTTAGAAGTTTTAGAACTTCTAAATGACGAAAAAAAAAGAAGAGAACAAAGGGATGATGAAGAAAAGTTAAAACTCAGAATTGTTTTATGTGTGTGAAAAACTCAAGTGAGAAACCAAGCAACCAAGTTGTAATTGAAAACTGAAACATTTAGTTGAGTTTTGAAATTGTTGCATTTATAAATTTGCATTTTGGTTTTAGTTGATGTGGCTTTAGAGACACTCACTTATTATTTATATAGAAAGGCTTGAGGGAAGAGTATATTTAAATATTCCAGCCTGCATGATTGTTTTTAATCACTTAGGAAGACTGATCACTTTGTGGTGACATGAGAAACTTGAGTAACTTCTTGGGGAGGGAGGTTGTTGCATTGTTCTTTCTAACCACAAGGTCTCTTGGTTTTAATATTCAGGACAATAAACAAGCAAGATTTCCGAAGGGAAGGAGCATAGTAGGATAATTTTAGCTTGTTGGTTGGCAGGACTGTCCTGCAAGCCAACACCTTTTAAATATAGGAGAAAAAGTTTCAATCGGGACATTGACACTGGAAGTCAGAAAATATGTTTTATCTTAAGTCATATCCTCAATGTGCAGATTAATGAAAGAATTTGAAGGCTATAGTGATGTAGTATGATGCCATTTATATTCTGCAGTGAGTCGATGTGACGTAGATAAAAGTAATTTCGTGCATTTTGTAAATTCTGTTCGATGACACTGTAACCATTTAGAACATTGCGCGATTCAATGAGGACATTGACCGGACTGTCCGGGGAGTATGTGACATTCGACCAGAATGGCCAAAATGCAATTTATGCAGGATTCGAATTTTGAGCAGTAAGCCTTCCGAGTTGATGATTTCGAAGGATTAGCGACGTTATTGGAACGTTTAGCCAAACGGTGAGGGCTAGAATATTCTAGTATTTTAAATTTTCAAAAATTCGAATGATGACGTCACATTTCTGAGAAATGCTGAAACGGCCATTTTAACAAAAAGCGAGTGAAAAACAGAACAACTTTATCTGTGATTGCGAACAGAACGAAAATCGAGATTAAAGAAAAACAACAACGAACTACAATAGCAGAGAACGTTCCAAGTTGCAACTATTGTGCTGCTACAATAGTTGCAAGGCCGTTGCCAACAACGGTGAAGGGTGAGAATCAGCCTTCCGGATTGGTGTGAAATTGAACTTGAGGAGCTTGATTCACTGGATTCAAGAATCCGGAAGGGTTTCGGGACTGGAACTTTTAGCCTTTTATATAAACTTTTAGCTTCTTGTCATGTCCTGAATTGAATTTAATTAACAACTGGATTCGTTTTGATAAGGATGAGAAGCTAGGGGTGGGGGAAAGGGTTGATCCATCTTCGATGGAGATGATGATTTTTATCTACTGAACAAAAACAATAGTAATATGATAAGTAGTAGCCCTGTTTTTAGGAGTGACCTCGTGGTCTGGGGATACAGAGACCCAGCCATGAGCTCACTATTTTTGCATGTAATTCAGTTAATTTGAGCGTTCTGGTCGAAGCCGGAGAGCAGTAACGTTTTTGTCGACCCGATGTAAGAAAGACCACCGAAAAGTACTGGCTTGGTAGAGACGGTGAAAAACATGCAAAGCTCTGTTTAGACGCTAGCCAGTCGTCTTAAGACTTAGTTTTGTTATCCGTCGATATGTATCTTCCGGGCGAATGTTACAAGTCTTAGTGGTTCCGGTATTTTGCCATCTCCAATGAGGTTTATCAGCTTAGTAAGCGATTTCAGAAAATGAAGTCCTGCACTGCCTTTCGGCTTACTAACAAGATCTTTAAAAATTTGAGGAACTATTTTATCAGAACCTGCTGCTGATCCGTTCGGAAAGGACATTATCGCTTTGTATAGGTCGAAATCGGTTACGAAAAAACTATCCAACTTTGCTGGATTTGGAGCTGCAAATTTGGCTCGCTGAGGGTGCTTCGACAACAATTTTTGATAGTTATCAGTTGAAAAAGGAGCAATTTTGTCATCCGAAGCAGCAAGCCTTAATCCTCCCTTTTACATTTCCTTCATCAAGCTTACTACTTATTAACTTTATTCTCTGCTCGAGGTCACTCAGAGGCGGGCTTGAAACTTGAGGATGGGGTTTTGGAAGTGACACGTCATTTGCTCGAATTTTTTTATTTATCAAAGAGCTCATGCTTGTGGTCTGTTTGCGTCCACTTCTTTTCGGTTGTTCCAAAAAAGCAAGAACGACGTTAAAAAAAATTAGCCATTTTGCAACATCTTCTACATTGTAGACGATAACATTTATTTTGTCCGACAGACTTTCCGCCAAGGGAACACGCGAGTCTTTTGGTACTCTCTTGAGTACTCGGACGTTTGAGATTGCTGTATTAACATAATTGTCTAGCTTTAAATCATTACTTATTGTTGCTTTATTAACAGATTTTACATCAACGCATAAAGGACACTGAAACCATTGGGTTTTCTTAGAGTCGCTAAGAGAAATATTTACACAACTGATATGATACCAACTAGAACAACAATCACATCTAATTGACCTAAACACGCAATACTTATCCACTTGTGCACGCACCGTCGCATGACGGAAGGGCCCAATTTAATTGACCCTTCAAAAACATCAATATTTCAACGCATTTTTTTCCAGGTCGAAATGGAGGCCTTACTATTCATGCGGTTTGTCACCTATTTAAGCATAGTAGGCCTGGGAGTGAATGCTTATGTAAAAAGATCAGCAAACGATACTACAATTACATCAACTTCAACCACAACCAGACCCTTCATTAATCGGTTTGATCCAATGAACATGAATTACAACGCGCCAATAGATATGACCTGGGTTGAATTAGGGTATGATCCTAACTTTAATGGCCAACAAACAGTACCTGCGACGCTTGATGGTAATTAGGCTTTACTATTGCCTTTAAAGTTGAAGTAACGGAGAATCGAAAACTAAATGGGAAATTAAATGAAGTTGAATTGTAATGAAATAAGTTGAAGTTAATGTGTATATTGATAATTTATTCTTATTGTTAATAGGAGTTTTGGATTGCAATAGTAAATTTATGTTCATGTAATAATTTAATAGTTTAGCATTTAAAAAAACCTGGTTTGCGTGTTTAGGTCTTCCTGGAGCCAGGCAGAATAATAAGCTGTTCTTCAACCAGTTAGAATATTTCAGTTTTTCAAAATCTTTGAAGTATTTTGTTTTGAAGTCAATACTTATCAAACTCGAATTTAGACTATTATTAATCCCGTGTAATTGATAATTAATTGCTTTATCTAGGGCGGAGAAGGCACTTGATCTGGTTCCGCTGTCTATTTCTAATGCGCTATTCAACAAAATAAGAACTTCGGCGGTAGCGGACGAAGACTTTCTGTTGATGTCAAACCTGATTATGGCATCGTTGTCGGTGGGTGTTGCTTCAGATTTGGGTTAAAACATTGAACCTTTCTATGAATCCTCATCATTATGAAACGTCTAATTGTTCAAATAAGTGTAGGAATAAATAATTAGAGCATAAAAATATTAAACCATTAGAAAACATCAAAGTTTGACGCGTTTCGATTTTATTATCATCATCAGAACTGAAAATCAAAAAACGGAACTGATTATAAATACAGACACTAAACAATGACAGAAACAACCATTGCCTTTGCCTTTTTATTTTTTTTGGCTTATTTCTGTTCGTTATTATAATCTGGTACTAGTCAGAAATACAATTCAGGATGCCTTCATATCATCCATGTCCATTGCACAACAAGATAGGGCAGTGCAGAGCAGAATGGCGGGAGTCATGGGTCTGAATCACTTGATACAACGACGTCTGGCTCAACAACCTCCTAGCACGGTGAGTTTTCCGGTCAATCAATTCAAATAGTGTGAACAGCGGAATTGAAGACTGTGGTACAAAATTACATCATTTCCCTTGAAAAGGCAAGTTGTAACAACTGGGCGCTGGACATCTTTTCTGCTCTTTTTAGCGAAGGCAGGGATGTACCAAGAGTTAAAGTAATTAATAACTCTTGCTTGCGATTAGCTAGGATTTTTCCTGTCAAACTTTGCTCGCATAGTTCATTCACTCGTGAGAACTTTGCCCATTTTAACTTGTATAATTATTGAATCTCAGCTCAAATAGTTGTTTTAAAGTTCGATTTTAGTTGATCTTTTACTTCAAGTTTATCTAAAACAACCTGTAGTTTCAGTTCGGTTTTTAAAACATGAAACATCGATTAGCTTTAGTAGCATGCAATTGTATTGAGGTTTTTCTTTGGATTAGTTCATTCAAATTTTGAATAACAAGTAGTGCAAAACTTAGTTTCGAAATATGTTTTCCAGTTTCAATTAATAGAATATGCTGCATAAGTCTGCTTTCAATTAGTTTTTTTTGTATGTTGAAGAAATCGTTACGAAACAATTTTCCCTGATACGAGAGTAATAGGACTTTTTCAGTTTAACAAGGCTAGCTGGTTGCTGTCCAAGTAGCACAGATGGTTCCGACCCCCTAATTTATGAAATCGAGAAAAAATTGCTACAGAAAAACGTTTTTTTTTTTCATTTTTGTATAAAATCTGTTTTTTTTTTTCGAAAAGGGACAATTAAATTAAGTGGAAAAATGCACGAATGAGTGGAAAACATTAATAGCTAAAATGACTTTCGAACAGGTGATATTCAATTTCGAGGTCAATCTAATCAGATTCCTCTTTCAGCCTTTGTATCAGGTAATTTCTGTAAAAATTTGACAAATTTTTCTCGGACCTGCGACAACTTTTTTGTTGAATCCGAATCACGGATTCAATTTGATGGTTCCCTAAGCCATATAGATCCTTCACTCATTTGCGTGAGATTTTTCTTTCATGAAGACGTCTGAAGATTTTTTGCGCTCAAATTTTCATTTTAACTTTCGACATCAGAATTTTGTCTTTTCTTGAGTTAATTAACACTGTTAAATTGTCTAGAAAAACTTGGTTTATATTTTAAAAATCAAATGAAATTTGTAATTTGCTCAAGTTACGCTAAGATAAGTTTCGATGTTTTTGTTCATACATTTTCCTACCTATTGATGTATTAGTTTTGCTATTTAATTTAGCGAGCGTAGTGAATTACTACGACTTTTCTTTTTTCTCCAAGCTAACTCGCTAATAAAAGAGCTTATCGCGGGCATTTTTGCTAATAGTTATCACAATCTGTACCATTGGAAATTCCATAGCATCTGTTCTCTGCTTTGTTTGCGGCTAGTGTTTGCCGATTGTTAAGAGTCCGTGACTGAGAGGAAAGGACGTGAAAATCGGAATCTCGAGGTCGCAGGTCTGAATCCGACATTTTGCTAAACTTTTACTAATTCGAGGCTTATTTCTACTTTAACCTTGTTCACTTTATATAGCTGCTTTTCTGTCATTTTCTCGCTAGTGTTTGCGATGCGCAGCTCGGCCTCTGTATTAATTTTTCAAGCAATCGTGGATGCAAGGGGATGAATCCTCATCTCCAAGTCGGGCTTAGAATCCGGCTTAACGTTTGTTTTCAAGGGTTATTTCTAGATTATTCTTTTCAAATACTTTTCTCTGAAGATTGGTATATTTGCTTGTATCACTTAGGTTGTGAAGTTCTGCGTTGCTTTTTGTGCTTATTTTGTTAAAAGGTTCAAATCCCTCTTCAAGAATTTAATGTTTCAGCGATTTTTTTCGGAGATTCAATTTATTTCGGTTCTTGTTTTGAACACTATATGAAGAGGTTTGGCTTTTCCGGGATTGAGTTTTTTCCAAGCAAATTCATGCAGCACAAGAAAACGTCGGTCAAAATCAAATGGTAATGATATGTAAGATCTTCCAGTCATGGTTCGAGTTGCAATCGAAAATTTCCCGTGTCCTGAAAAATTGTTTTGAACGTTTGGCAAAAGGTGATGAGTGGAAAAGAGCGAGGAGTGTTCTAAAGGTAGTAAAATATGTTGCGTTTTCTCTATCCTTCCGAAGAATGGGTTTTAGAGGGATAACGAAGAACTGTTTGGCGTGGACTCTGTCAGGTGTGGAGTGCTTCTGTGGAAGCTGAGGGACTCCTCTTTGGACCAGCGCCTGGTTCCCTATGACTCACTATTTGAACTGCCTCTGGACCAGATGAAACCTCTCAAGCAGTTCCTGCCCGGTTTGACCCTAACAATGGCTCGTAGTTTCTTGACATCAATTTCAACGGATGCAGAAGGAAAAACTGCCCTTGTGTAAGTACTTGTTCGTGTTATTACGTTCTTTTGTTTCAATATCTAGTTTTTTCTCTGCCAAATGAAGTGATTTAGGATTATTTGATCGTAATCCTACCAGAAAAAAAAAGTCGTTTTCAGTGATGCTCAAACTGTTTAGAATTGATTCTTTTCCTGGAACGACCGCTGATTGGCTGAGACACAGAGGTGTTTGCTCGTCTCTCTTTCTCGCAGTGTACAACAACATTGCAGCTCAAGCAGACCAGTGGAACCCTCCAGGATACGATAACCTCAAGGACAAAATTGTGCCTATGTTCTCTTGTGTTAAGCCTTCGTACCTACTCAGGTTCCGATTCAACGAGTTGTGGCCGATGATTGACGAGTTGAGCTCGGTGGATCTGGACTGGCAGCGAGGTTCGGCCATCGTTCAGCAGATATTCGAGACATCTCAGTCTAGTGACTATAACGACCAGTTCTTTGTTCGGTTAGTGATCATTGATACGAGAAAGAACGTATAAAGTGCTCTCAGTTTTGTATCATTACTAGAAAAATAATTATAACCGTTCGAGTTCACGCTTTTACGGGATAAAAATGGAGATTCAGAATTGGTTTTCTCAAAAGTATCTTGTGATCATAAAATGTTGCTTTAGATTGAACCAGCTGAATAGATTCCTGACGATTGACTTGATTCAAACTCATCGCTTTGACGATATATTTATGAATGCTCTCCTGACCAAAAATTCACTTGTCGCAATTTCGGACCAGACAAATGATCCTCTGGTAAGCCAAATCAAAATATTCTCTGTAAAGGTCTAAAGTCGAGAATTTAAGCAGCGCATTTTCATTAACGCTTTTCTTCTTTTTTAAGTTCGCATTTAAGGTTTTTACCCTTGCAGTAAGCAAGAGGTTTTCAACAGGTACAAGACTTTTGTCTCTGGAAAGAAATTTGTGTACAGAATTTGCACGTGAAAACGTTTCATTGTTTTAATTACGAGTGTGATTTCATATTACGAAGTCTACTCTTATTCAAACCTAACTGGCAAATAAAAGTGTTTACACAAGCAAAGCTTCTGTTATAGGCTCAAGGTTTTACTCATTCAGTTTTTTCCAATAGCGTTGTCGGTCATAATTTTGCTTGTGTATGCGAACTGCAACTTCGCCTCTGTGTCATTTTTTGTAATCTGTTATATCTGCTGTATAAGTGGTTAGTGTTTACGCTAGCGTCAGCTTAGCGTATTATTTAGAACCTTCTTTTTTTCTAACATAAGTCGCAAATTTTAGTGCCAATTTTTTAACTCAATATATCTCGCAATTTTTTGAAATGCGTAATTTATACATTATGTGGCTTTGCGATTTGTTATATGCAAAGTTAGTGTGGAGTGGATGCCTTCAGTTTGATATATTCCAAACTGTTACTCGCGAAATTGTGTCTATTTGTATTTAGTGCTTACATTGCTGAATCGCATTGGTAGCTGCTTTATTCGTGACTAGTGTTTGACAGTGGTTTAGAGTGCGTGGCTGAGTGGTTAGTCGTGTTTTTCGCTAGTGTTTGCGAAGCTTCGCCTCTTTTTTGACGTTTTAAGCGACCATGGGGCAGATGAGGTCTTTATTCTTTACCATTTGGTCTGGGGAGCAACTCCACTGCATTTCAAAGTTTTTATTTTAAGCCTTGGCATTTAAATTTCTTGTATTTGCCTTTTTGGTGGCTAGTGTTTGTAGAATGAGAATTGATCAATGCGCTGATGAAGAGACGTGAGACGGTCGAGGGCTAAATGTTTAACTATTTTTGCCGTTTTTTGCTTGTTTGCGAAGCAGCTTCTTCGCTTTTCTTAAAGGATCAGTATTAGTTATGTGTATTTAACATTGTTAAAATCCCTGCTAAAAACGAGAAAGGCCTAGGTGGGTATAATTTTTTTGGCTTTTATTGTCTGTCTGCTTGTTTTTGTCGGCTCAGTTCCTGCAGAACGGTGTTCTTGAAGATTTCACATTTTCTAACATTCTGAATGTTACTTATGCAACCGAGTGAGTTTAGTGTAGTGTTATATTATGAATCTACCTATTCTCCACCCAAGTAAAAATAAGATTTTTCGGTAGCACTTGATGTTGTAGCTTTATATCTGGCTTAGTGTTGCTGGATAGCATTATATCTTTGTATCTAGTTTATTGGTCGCCAGTCTTTTGTTGTTGTTGATATGGAAGTGTAGTCTTGCCAATGCCATCGTTAAAGACTGGTATCCCTCGTACCGAATAGTTCGAATCGGACTGCTGCCGTGCCGGAGCATGCAAGGCAATTCTTCGCATTTTCTACACCTGGGGTCGGTTGAATGGTCCTGCAGGATGACCAGGGCCAGTGTTATTGCGTCTTTCCGTGTCTTGATGGCTTTTCTATCTCGAGTATTTGCTATAAACAGCCACAACTCCGGGGTGTGAGGGTGCCCGTCCTTGATAGACTTTTGATGCTAGCCCTCGCCGCCGCCAGAGACACCGGCTGCGGCGGTTTTCACTACTGGTGGCTTCATTTGCTATTCTGTCCGCCATCTCGTTGATAGGTATGTTAACATGGCTCGGTACCCACTGGATCTTCGTATTCACCTCCGCTTCTTCCAGTTTGTTCCTTAGCTCGTCAGTGTCCTTCGATCTGTTGTTAATCGCCTGTTTCTTAATTCCTGATAATTGACTATCCGTACAAATCAGGATCGTCCGGATGTCAGCCAAGCTATTTTTAATCCACTCGCTCGCACATCTCATCACTTCCCTTTCGTCATCATACGAAGACGTTAGCTCGCCTGCCTCTGCTCTGCTACCACCCCTGCCTCTGCTCTGCTGGCTCCAGCCACTGCTGACCCGTTGGCGTAGATGACGTCCGCTTCTTCTTCCGTGACGATTTTCAACGCTTTCCCCGCTCGTTCCTTCGTCCGGTTCTCTCTATGCAACTAATTCATAGCTTCCGAATTCCTTCTTCGGTCGATTCAAGGGGGTTTTTCAATTCCCGTGACTTCTTTGTTCTACAACTCTACCAGTAGCTGCTCTTCCACTCCTCGCATGCTTTCTCCAGTTGCTTCTCGCTACTTTGTGAGGGGGCCCCTGTCTACTGGCCACTTCTCTGGGGTGCTCAAGGGGGTCTCGCTTAGCTTTCTCACAGGACACCGCGGTGAGAAGTCGGCTTCTGGCTTAATGGCTAGGGACGTTGGCTTCCAGTCTAACTGCTTCCACAAGGGTAAAACAGGCCTGTCCAGTGATTCTTCTCAGGGCCTTGTTCTGCGCTCGGTCCAGTTTGTCAAGCTTGGTCCCCTAGATCCAAGGCTGCCAACCAGGTGCTGGGTTGTTGAGCACACTCTTCTGTGTCGCAAGAAACACTTTCCTGAGATGCTCCGTTCTCCACCCGATGTCGGAGGCACCAAGAACAGCCAGCGCCCGACACCGTTCCTCCACAGTCTTCGTCACCTTGTCCTTATGTACGGCTGAAAAGGGAACGTCCTGTCTAAGTTCGCACCAAGAAACCAAGGAATTTTTGATTGGGGTTGTATTCTAACTGCTTCCCTTCCAGCGTAATCCTGGGGACCCACTTTGCGTCTCCTGAGCCCGCAGCCAAGAAGGTGTCTTGCGCCATTCTTTGATGCGAATGAAGCGTCCATGGCGCAGATGCTAGGACGTCAGACTCTTTATCTCGATGTCGGGGGGTTTCGATTCCGGCATCTCAGTATTTTTATTACTTCAGTATAGTATTTTTTGTCACTTTTTGACCAGGCCAGGGCTGCTTTTTTGCCGTTTTCTCGTTACTGTTTTCCACCTGCAGCTTCGCCTTTGTGTTTTATCATTGAAATTAGTATAAAACATTTTTAACTCTGATTCGATTGAGTTTTTAGTGTAAATAATTTTGTATAATTTTTTTTCCATGCACTAATAGTAGTCAATCATTTTTTGTATCATAACAAGTGCGAAGCAAGTTTTGACGTTTTGTGAGTTTATTCATTTTCTGAGGAAAGATATAGATGTTTCAATTACAATTTTCTTGATTTTTTTTAATCAGCGACCAGAGTCGTTTCGGTCGGTCTACTTTTAGTAGACAAAAGTCATTTTTTGATAAGTTTTGTGTCAATCTTATGCGTTTAATTCGCCTCACATAATAAAGTTCTTTGCAAACTATTTCATGGCCACGTGGTTTAAATAAATAACTGTTTTTCTGTAGGGACCGGGTTGGTATTTAAAAGCAGAAGAGGATATTAGGGGGGCGTAAACCACCCCCCCCCCCCCCTCCCTCAGGTACTGTACCCCCTGCCGACCCAAAAGGTCCCCCTTGCACTTTTTTGAGATCTCCATTTTTGGCTGAAGAACCCTAAAGTTTTTCTAGAAGCGCCTTTGGGGCCAATGTATACTAGTTTTGAGGGGGAAGCGCGCGCCAAAATAATGCGATTTTTTGGTCAAATATTTCTAAAAAGTGCCCAAGACACTTTTTTGGCCTGTTTTTTCAATAATTCGCGTGCGGCCTAAAATATTTGGCTAAAACAACAGTTTTTTAGTGCTTTGGGAGAGCTTGGAAAATAAATTTTGTCGACCTAAAAAAAGATCAAAATTTTCCAAGTTTTTGAAAATACGCCCCCATCCCCCTCAAAATCCTGGTTCCGCCCCTGTTGAAAAGTATGAGGTTTTTAGTTTGAATTTGATTTTATATTTCATTGCATCTATTGTGTGGTCGTTTTCCGAGCTTCTTTTTGCAGTCTTTCTCTTGGGTTAACGAGGTACAATTTTTCCTGTGTTGCATTGTCAAGGTTATTCAAAATTTTTCAAATAAATTGAATATACGGCGATGTTCATAGCAGCAAGAACTCCGATGTTAAAATATATTATGCATTCGCTAAAAAACGATTGATTTGAACATTGTTTGCCCTAGCTTTTGGAGTGGCTATACTCTGAAGTGCGATCTGAGTTGTACCCGAACCCTCTGAGTGGGATCACTTCATCTGTGGACATGTACACTCTGGGCACTATGGTGGCCGCCATGACTGTCGCAGACATTCGCTCGTTCCAACCACGGGCAGTGAAAGAGAACGTGGGTGCATTCCAGTCCAAGGGACTCACGCCTGGACAGGTGGGTTACTCACAGAAACACACTTTTCTCCACTCACTTAAGCATTAAATGTTTATTTAAGTGTCGTGTGTGCTTTACTTTGTCACTAATAAAGGTGACCTGGAGTCAAGTGGTGTATCATATTGAAGCAGTTTAAGTCATCCTTGTTTTCAATATGTTTATAATTTCCGTGTAGGGAAAAATTGGTTTGAAAATTTTGCCCTCAGTCCAAGTTGCCTTCACTCCCCCACAGTTGGTCCTGCATCGAGTAGGACCAGTTTTTTTTTTAAAAAAAAACAGCCTTTGTTAAGCTGTTCAGCATTTTGTGTAGAACCTCTATTATTCCCTTGCCTAATAAAAGCTACATACAATTTTTTGGCTAAGTTTCTGGGCTGATTGTAGTTGCGGATCGTGGTGGGCTTCGAACTACCGAAATTTTGACAAAGGTGGAGGTCTTAGCCACTTAAAAGTTGCTCCTCTTTCCTCGCCCGAAGGCAACAAGCATAGATGATGGTGATTTTTCCTTCTTTAAATTAGTTTGAAACGACGTTTTCTTAACGCTTCGTTGTTTTCTGATTACAAGTTTGATGCACGATCATCAAAGATGGATCCAGCTAAGGTTTGTTTAACAGGAAAGCATATGGGAAGAGAATTCATAAATGCGCCCACTACTATGATCCTCTAGTGTTCTGAAAATCTGCAAGCCATGCTCTTTTTGCTGATAGCTTAAAGAACTTAATTATAAAATGAAACCATCAAAACATCTCTTGTAAAAGTAATATTACATCAACCGTGATTGAGAGCATCTAGCTGAATCAATTTCCATTAATCTTTTGATCAAATTTTAAATTTCATGAACACTTGCAGTTCTGTCTGCTACTTAATTAGAAAACGATTTTTTTTGTCGTTTTTTAATGTGTTATTTGGATCAATATCAATATGAATGCAATTCGCCTTAAAACCGATTTCATTTATCAATCTGCTCGGTGTAATTTAATTTAGAGTTCAAGTTTAAAGCGTTCATGCTGTGTTTTAGATGGTGACCCTGGTGGACATATACATGACAGAAGGCAACTTTGATGTCCTTACTGTGAGTCGAAGTTGAAAAAAGTTACAATTTTCATATTCCTTGTTGTGTCTTGTAATCGGGAACTAGACTTTTTCCCGTCAGCAACTTTTCTTACAAGTTTTTGATTTGCTTAATTATTGAATCTCAACCTTTTCATGTTCCTTTGCGCTTGAACTAGATGAAATGCCGTCGCCTTTGAACTTTAAGTTTCGGGGTTTGAATCCCGCCGGACCTTATTTTTTCCAGTACGTATGCAATTGAAAAAAATTTTCCAGTAAAAATTGATTTGTCGGATTTTCGTTTATTTGATCAATATTTGTCGCTTAATTGCTACTTAACGGATTTTTCTGGGATTGTAAGCAGGTATCTTGATAGTTGCAACTGTAGTTTGTTTAATGATGACTTGAAACTTTAAAAGTTATTTATAAAATCTTTTTTTTTTCGGCTCAGAGATAGCCGGATTTGTTTCCAATTCGCAAGTTTGGTTCCGTTGCTAACGTTTGATTTTATGTTTTTTCAAAATGTATGGGATTGGGTTTTTACCCTCGTGAAAAGCAGGGCTATTGCAATCAAGTACTAGACGAAATGGTCTAAATTAGAAATAGTAAATTTAGGTTTAGTTCATAATGAATTCCAATTTCTCTGCGTCTGCGGTACTTTCTGTCTGGAGGTAACGAATCCGCATGGGACGGCAAAGGTCCTGGGTTCGAATCTGACAGGACCTGTTTTTTCAAAATGGGAAATAGTCCGTTTCAAGAAAAAATTGTCGGCTAATTGTTGTCTGCTTGTGTTTTGTCTTAGTTGCCTAATTGTGGAATTGCTTTTTTTTGTAAATTTTTTCTTCATAATAGTTTCTTTCAGTGCTCTGATCTACCTCTGCTGTTTGTAATTTCAACAACCTTGACTTCGTGTAATTTTTTGTTTTCTCGCTTCAAATTTTTCTACTGCCAAAATGTTTTCGGTCTACTTTTTATGGGCTTAGTGACCCAATTTTTGAGTCGTTCCAATGGAAACATAATTTCGATGCTCAACTCTGGATCACACAAAATCCTAAAAATCTTAGTAGAAATTATAGTTCAATTTTTTTCATGACAACAATTTTTTCGGCTTTTTTGTTTTCTTATCTTTTTTTTGGCTCGATAGGCATCGGCCTATATTATATCGGCTTATTAGCCTGGCCTCATATTGCTTCTTTCGACGAGCGAAAAAATTTGTAATTAATTTATTTCGCATTTTTGTTTATTTCTTTTCTAGGCTTAATAGGTTTCGACCTATATTATATCAGCTTAGTTGCCTCATACTGTTTTATTTGATGAGCAAATAAAATTTTGAGTGTTTGCGTGCTTCAAGGTCGAAGTGGAGTTAACTTTTCATAAGTCTTGTGAATTTTTTTCGTCTTAAAGTGTTTCCGTCGAAAGGATTTTCGGCTTTGTTACTGCTGGGTTGATTATCTTCCGATGCGAATTCCACCTTCTATTGTCTTGGCATGTTTTTGTTTCAAAACTAGCCTTATTCAATTTGATAGATCTTGTTTTTTGCGACATTTTCAATTTTTTTATTGTTCTATATCGCAAGTGGTGTGAAGCCCAGCTTCGCCTGTGTTTATTTATTTTTTTTGAAACTTTTTGAATTTTTTTTTATTTTTTGCAAAAATTCTAGTTTTTCTCAAAATTTATTCTAGTGATTTTTTAAAAACGTTATCAATCGATTTCCCGATCCAGATGTCTACTCCCCTGTGTGCCTGCATACTCGCTCAGTCTCTCTTTTTTTACACCTATGTATACAGCCAAAAAGTCTGATGGGGGAATATTTGACCCATATTTTTTCAAAAACTACACTCTCAAAACTGAGATTTTAATTTCAATGGCTAGAAAGGATTTGTAAAGCTGCCATGCATAAGCAATTATGCTCAAATTTATATTCTTATAGAGGTACGGCCCTCGGTTTAGAAAATTTTTTTAGTTTTAGACCGTTTTTTGTTTCCTTGACTGTTCTCGACAATTAAACTCTCAAATCCGAATTTGTGGGATCAATGGAGATAACCGGCAGGCGAGCTTCCCTTTTTTTAGCGGCCTCTCACAATAATTTTTACACAAACAATTATCGCTCTCGGAAAAGTAAAATTTTTGGTGTTTTGGCCGTTTTTTTTTTTAAACCTTTCTCAAAAACCTTTCTTTAAGTTTTCAAAAAAGCGATCGTCCAATATCTGAGATTTTGGTTTCAATCCGAAGAAATGGTTATATGAAGCTCTTTTGTATAAGTGGTTATACCGAAATTTTGTTGAAACACGAAGTTATGGCCCTCGGAAAAGTCAATTTTTTTTCAACTTTTTGACCATTTTTTTTTTCTGTTTGACTTTTCTCGATAACTATCTTGCCAAATCTGGTATCATAGGTCTAAGTGGTTCAATAAGTGGTTAAATGTCTACCCTTATTAAGATTAATGAACGTAGTGAAGATTCTTATATATGTCTTGCTGATTTTTTTTATTCAGGAAAAAGTCTTATAATATTGATGCACTTAGGTATAATGCACTTTTTGAGTTCAATTGAAATTCATCAGCTGAAAGTGACGTAGTTAGCACTCTCCAAATACGAACAATGAAATGGCGGAGAAACTTGAACGATTTTTACTTTCAAAATTGGAATTTATTTTGAAGATAAAGATTTTGAATCTTAAAATGTTCTAGAAATTTCAAGAGCTTAAAGGGATCTATTTTTTTTCTTTGAAATTCGAAAGTTGAGTTTTTTTGAAGAAAACCAGTGTTTTTTTAATGTTAGCTTGCGTTCATTACTCTTTTCCATTGTTAAAAGATTGCGCTCAAATTCTTCCAGAAAGAAGTTATGGCCTTCAAACAAGTCAAAGGTTCGAAGCTTAAGATATGAAGCTTTGACCGTTTATGGAAACTTTTTGACTTCACAACCCTCAGATTATGCGCTCAGTCGAGAAACCCAGTTTTTGGATTCTTTCTACTTAAGCTACCGCGACCTGATTTTGCAGAAAAAAGTATGGATACCGGAAAATCAAGTTTTTGAATTTTTGACCATTTTATTACAAAATATATATCAAAGCCGAGATGATAATCTCAATTGATAGAACCGGTTGCGAGAAGCAAAGGTTGGTTTTATCACAAAAGTGACTATCTTAAATTGTGTTTAAAATTCGAAATGCTGGAGCTGACATTTTTTTTCTTTGAAGTTGTGAAGTTGATTTTTTTCAAGAAACAATTGAAATTCATCAGCTGAAAGTGACGTAGTTAGCACTCTCCAAATACGAACAATGAAATGGCGGAAAAACTTGAACGATTTTTAGTTTCAAAATTGGAATTTATTTTGAAGATAAAGATTTTGAATCTTAAAATGTTCTAGAAATTTCAAGAGCTTAAAGGGCATCTATTTTTTTTTCTTTGAAATTCGAAAGTTGAGTTTTTTTGAAGAAAACCAGCGTTTTTTTAATGTTAGCTTGCGTTCATTACTCTTTTCCAATGTTAAAAGATTGCGCTCAAATTCTTCCAGAAAGAAGTAAGGCCTTCAAACAAGTCAAAGGTTTGAAGCTTAAGATTTGAAGCTTTGACCGTTTATGGAAACTTTTTGACTTCACAACCCTCAGATTATGCGCTCAGTCGAGAAACTCAGTTTTTGGATTCTTTCTACTTAAGCTGCCGCGACCTGATTTTGCAGAAAAAAGTATGGATACCGGAAAATCAAGTTGTTAAGTTTATTCAAAAATATTTGATTTTTTTTTAAAACTACCCGTTCAAAGCCGAGAAGCAAAGGTTCATTTTGTCACAGAAGTGACAATCTTAAATTGTGGTTAACATGCGAATGCTGAAAAGAGCTGACATTTTTTTTCTTTGATGTTGCAAAGTAGATTTTTTTTTCTTCAAAAAACAAGTCAGTTGTTCGTTTCTGTTTCCTTGGGTTCTTGGACTCAGAAACGAACAGCTGACTTGTTTTTTGAAAAAAAAATCAACGTCACAACTGCAAAGAAAAAAATGTCAGCTCTTTTCAGCATTTCGAATTTTAAACTTAGCCAGCAACTACTTGTTGGCTAAGTTTTAGAGCGGGCAGTTTGCTTAACAAGTTGACGAATCATTTGTGATGACATAATCAATTTCAGGAAAATTCAAATTAAATTGTTTGTTGCCATTACTGGTAACTACGGGTTGTCTTGATAGCGTACTTTTATCTAGTATCATTTCTAAGTTTATCAACACGGATTTTAGATAATTTTATCTTTTTGCTCTGGCTTTATTCAGAGTAATGAACGTAATTAATGAGTACTCTTATATAGGTCTTGGCGATTTTTTATTTTGTGTTTTAAGGAAAACTTTTCGCGCTTATTTTTGATTTTTCGCTGTTTGGTTTTTTCAGTTGACGTCATTTCCTTTGTTAAAAGAAAGGCAATTTACCGATCAGCAAATGTGTAGTTTTAACGAAAAACGTGATCAACTTCTAATTTCGAAAATCGAATTTAAATATGAGATTACCCAGTGAAATATATTAATTACTTGTTGATCCAGCTTGTTTAAATTGGTGTAATTTAATCCAAAATGTCAATCATAAATCCAAAGAGCTTGAAGGGCATCTTTTTTTAAATTTGAAATTTGAGATTTTTCAAAAGTGGAACTTCTAGTTTCTGAAGTGGAGTTTTTTTTTCAAATTCCCAGCGAAAAAAACTTTTTTTCTTGTTGATCCAGGTTTCTCAAAAAGGGTTACTTTCATAAAAAAGGGGTCAAATTTAAAGTACTAGTGATCTTCAGAGAGCTTTAGAACCATATATCTATTAATTAGATATTCGAATGCTGGCTTCACTTTTATCGCCATGCTCAAGCTTTTCAACGTACCAGTGATGCATTTCGAAAAAATTTCATGGTTAAGCTATATGGTATTTTGCTCCGGTTAAATATTTGTTGATTTTCCCATTTGATTTCAGGGTTTATTTCACTAAGTTTGAAATAAGCAAACCAAGAGTGGTATGCTGTCAGGCTTCCACGTGGGTCGCCAATGTGGCATCAAATTATGAATACCCAAATCATTTTAGTTATAAGATACTACTTTTGTGATTTTTGAATAAAGAAATTTGACAAAAATTTAAATACTCAAATTTGTAGTTGTGTGTTGTCATGTAGTCTCAGGGCCTGCAAATCTTGCCTCCAGATATGACTGCTCAATTTCCTGTAGTTTTCGAGAAAAGACTTTTTAAAATTTTTTTTCTTCAAAATATCAGAAAACTTTGATTTGAAAAAGTTCGAAATATTCGAAATTTCCAACTTGTGATTGGAAACAATGAGGTATTCTCAGGAGGTGAAAATCTGGCTTTCAATTGCGACTGCTCAAATGCTTTAGGTTTCCGAGACATGACGTTTTTTTCAAAAAACTTGATTAAAAAAATTATGAAATCCTTAATGCCTCAGGAGTTCATATCTTGACTGCTCAATGCCAAATTTGACTGCTCAATGCATTTCACTTTCCTAGATATTGCGTTTTATGATTTTTCAATTATTTTCAAAAGTTCCAGTTTTTAAAAAAATACATCTCAAATTTTGAATTGGTTGACTCATTTGTGGTGTGAAGTGGGTTACTACCAGCAGTTGCAGATATGGCCTCCATCGTAATATTTTTGCTCAAATTGTTTACGTTTTCGAAATTGATATTTCAAATGAGATTTCAGAAATTTTATTAATATTTCAGGCCATTTTAGGGTTTTGTTTCTGAATTCAAAATTCGAACATCTGAAACCCATTAGTTCGGAGATTTAGCCATTTTAGTTTTAACAGAACCTCAAAGTTGAAAACTTTTTATCGTCCAACTTTTGAAATTATATGTGTTGTTGGATGCCCCCGTATAATGTCACTGTTGCATTCCTTCCTTTGTTTTTCATATGTTTGATATATAAGCAGTTTTCACGTTTTTTAAATCTATTTGAAGCTTGAAGTTACACGCTAGTTTTTATTTAAAATTTGCAATTTTTTTGCATTTATTTGCGTTCATTACGCTTTTCCAACTGTCAGTTGGCTATGCTTTGTTTTTGTTTGCACCAAGTTATGCAATCTTTTTTTTCCGGCTCAACAAACGTCGACCCAAGTATAATCGGCTTAGTCACCGCTGCGCAATTTTTTATGCTTATTTAAAGCTGTCAATCGTCTTCCTGATTGCGTGCTCCAAAATTTCAGTTTTTTTTCCCGCAAAATAGTTTCCTTCAATGCACATCGAGACAAACGTATTTTGGTATATCATGATTTTTAAACTTTTCTTTTCTCATGCTTTGTCTCTTTTTCTGACGGCTAATTGTGTTGTATCGGTGGAAGGCTGATTTTGCATGTGTTAAAACTGCTCCTAAAGTTACAATAAAAGAGTAAAAGAGCCTTGAACCTCTTACCCGCGCTACCCTGAATGGTGGTCTCATTTTTCAATTTAAGAAAGATTTCCACAAGTTATTTCGATTCCGACTATTGAAAATTGGGAGGCACTTCGGGTGTTTTTTAGTTTTTGTTTTTCACGCTAAATCAGGCACCAGACGAATCGGGTCTCCCCTTGTTGGCTGACTGACTCTAAAGTTTTTCTAAAGGCGCCTTTGGCGCCAAAATAAACCATTTTTGAGGGGCAACGCGCGCCGAAAATGCGATTTTTGGCCAACATATTCCAAAAAGTGACTGAGAACTCCTTTTTTGGCCTGTTTTTTTTTAGAAAATTGCCCGCGGCGCTGAAATTTTGGTGAAAATGGGATTTTTATAGTGATTTGGGAGAGCTTAGAAAATCAATTCTGAGCAAAAAAAAAAGGTCGACAAAATTTTTTTGTTTTCAAAATCCCCCCTTCGAAAAAATCTTAGGCCCACCCTAAAATCAGGTATCACAAATAATCATTGGATAGGTTTCAGTGATATAACGTATCAAAGCTCTTTTAGTCGTGATTCGAACGATGTTTAAGTTTTTTTCTGTGTCGAGAAAAACCGATTCGAAATTTTTGATTTTTAGTCTAATTTCGAGCGTCTAAAGGTGAACGAGCAAGCAGGCTCGCAATAGCTTATTTATACTTGATTTAAGCCTCGAAAATTAGTTTTTTTTCCTTTGAAATTTTGAGATTCAAAATTTAAAAAAAATTCTGCGAAAAATTTGTTTTCGGTTTTTTTTTAAAATTTTTCTAGTCATTTTCTACCAAAACTGTTGTCCAACTTTCCTAATGCAAAAAAAACGATACTAATTTTAAAAACCTGTTTTACTTTTTTGAGATTATGGTCGGAAATTCTGTTTGATTGGCACAGCAACCGGCTATCCTAGTTTTAATTTCGGTTTGTTTTTACCTCAGTTGAATAGCAGAGACCTGGAGAATTTGAGACGTCTGATTCCGTTTCTAAACTACAACAGATTCATAACCATGGCAGATAATTTTATCTTTTTGCTCTGGCTTTATTCAGAGTAATGAACGTAATGAGTACTCTTATATAGGTCTTGGCGATTTTTTATTTTGTGTTTTAAGGAAAACTTTTCGCGCTTATTTTTGATTTTTCGCTGTTTGGTTTTTCCAGTTGACGTCATTTCCTTTGTTAAAAGAAAGGCAATTTACCGATCAGCAAATGTGTAGTTTTAACGAAAAACGTGATCAACTTCTAATTTCGAAAATCGAATTTGATTATGAGATTACCCAGTGAAATATATTAATTACTTGTTGATCCAGCTTGTTTAAATTGGTGTAATTTAATCCAAAATGTCAATCATAAATCCAAAGAGCTTGAAGGGCATCTTTTTTTTAATTTGAAATTTGAGATTTTTCAAAAGTGGAACTTCTAGTTTCTGAAGTGGAGTTTTTTTTTCAAATTCCCAGCGAAAAAAACTTTTTTTCTTGTTGATCCAGGTTTCTCAAAAAGGGTTACTTTCATAAAAAAAGGGGTCAAATTTAAAGTACTAGTGATCTTCAGAGAGCTTTAGAACCATATATCTATTAATTAGATATTCGAATGCTGGCTTCACTTATATCGCCATGCTCAAGCTTTTCAACGTACCAGTGATGCATTTCGAAAAAATTTCATGGTTAAGCTATATGGTATTTTGTTCCGGTTAAATTTTTGTTGATTTTCCCATTTGATTTCAGGGTTTATTTCACTAAGTTTGAAATAAGCAAACCAAGAGTGGTATGCTGTCAGGCTTCCACGTGGGTCGCCATTGTGGCATCAAATTATGAATACCCAAATCATTTTAGTTATAAGATACTACTTTTCTGATTTTTGAATAAAGAAATTTGACAAAAATTTAAATCCTCAAATTTGTAGTTGTGTGTTGTCATGTAGTCTCAGGGCCTGCAAATATTGCCTCCAGATATGACTGCTCAATTTCCTGTAGTTTTCGAGATAAGACTTTTTAAAATTTTTTTTCTTCAAAATATCAGAAAACTTTGATTTGAAATTTCCAACCTTGTGATTGGAAACAGTGAGGTATTCTCAGGAGGTGAAAATCTGGCTTTCAATTGCGACTGCTCAAATGCTTTAGGTTTCCGAGACATGAAATTTTTTTCAAAAAACTTGATTAAAAAAATTATGAAATCCTTAATGCCTCAGGAGTTCATATCTTGACTGCTCAATGCCAAATTTGACTGCTCAATGCATTTCACTTTCCTAGATATTGCGTTTTATGATTTTTCAATTATTTTCAGAAGTTCCAGTTTTCAAAAAAAATACATCTCAAATTTTGAATTGGTCGACTCATTTGTGGTGTGAAGTGGGTTACTACCAGCAGTTGCAGATATGGCCTCCATCGTAATATTTTTGCTCAAATTGTTTACGTTTTCGAAATTGATATTTCAAATGAGATTTCAGAAATTTTATTGATATTTCAGGCCATTTTAGGGTTTTGTTTCTGAATTCAAAATTCGAACATCTGAAACCCATTAGTTCGGAGATTTAGCCATTTTAGTTTTAACAGAACCTCAAAGTTGAAAACTTTCTATCGTCCAACTTTTGAAATTATACATGTTGTTGGATGCCCCCGTATAATGTCACTGTTGCATTCCTTCCTTTGTTTTTCATATGTTTGATATATAAGCAGTTTTCACGTTTTTTAAATCTATTTGAAGCTTGAAGTTACACGCTAGTTTTTATTTAAAATTTGCAAGTTTTTTGCATTTATTTGCGTTCATTACGCTTTTCCAACTGTCAGTTGGCTATGCTTTGTTTTTGTTTGCACCAAGTTATGCAATCTTTTTTTTCCGGCTCAACAAACGTCGACCCAAGTATAATCGGCTTAGTCACCGCTGCGCAATTTTTTATGCTTATTTAAAGCTGTCAGTCGTCTTCCTGATTGCGTGCTCCAAAATTTCAGTTTTTTTTCCCGCAAAATAGTTTCCTTGCACATCGAGACAAACGTATTTTGGTATATCATGATATTTAAACTTTTCTTTTCTCATGCTTTGTCTCTTTTTCTGACGGCTAATTGTGTTGTATCGGTGGAAGGCTGATTTTGCATGTGTTAAAACTGCTCCTAAAGTTACAATAAAAGAGTAAAAGAGCCTTGAACCTCTTACCCGCGCTACCCTGAATGGTGGTCTCATTTTTCAATTTAAGAAAGATTTCCACAAGTTATTTCGATTCCGACTATTGAAAATTGGGAGGAACTTCGGGTGTTTTTTAGTTTTTGTTTTTCACGCTAAATCAGACACCACCCTAAAATCAGGTATCACAAATAATCATTGGATAGGTTTCAGTGATATAACATATCAAAGCTCTTTTAGTCGTGATTCGAACGATGTTTAAGTTTTTTTCTGTGTCGAGAAAAACCGATTCGAAATTTTTGATTTTTAGTCTAATTTCGAGCGTCTAAAGGTGAACGAGCAAGCAGGCTCGCAATAGCTTATTTATACTTGATTTAAGCCTCGAAAATTAGTTTTTTTTCCTTTGAAATTTTGAGATTCAAAATTAAAAAAAAATTCCGCGAAAAACTTTGTTTTCGGTTTTTTTAAAAATTTTTTCTAGTCATTTTCTACCAAAACTGTTGTCCAACTTTCCTAATGCAAAAAAACTATACTAATTTTAAAAACCTGTTTTACTTTTTTGAGATTATGGTCGGAAATTCTGTTTGATTGGCACAGCAACCGGCTATCCTAGTTTTAATTTCGGTTTGTTTTTACCTCAGTTGAATAGCAGAGACCTGGAGAATTTGAGACGTCTGATTCCGTTTCTAAACTACAACAGATTCATAACCATGGCAGATAATTTTATCTTTTTGCTCTGGCTTTATTCAGAGTAATGAACGTAATGAGTACTCTTATATAGGTCTTGGCGATTTTTTATTTTGTGTTTTAAGGAAAACTTTTCGCGCTTATTTTTGATTTTTCGCTGTTTGGTTTTTTCAGTTGACGTCATTTCCTTTGTTAAAAGAAAGGCAATTTACCGATCAGCAAATGTGTAGTTTTAACGAAAAACGTGATCAACTTCTAATTTCGAAAATCGAATTTAAATATGAGATTACCCAGTGAAATATATTAATTACTTGTTGATCCAGCTTGTTTAAATTGGTGTAATTTAATCCAAAATGTCAATCATAAATCCAAAGAGCTTGAAGGGCATCTTTTTTTTAATTTGAAATTTGAGATTTTTCAAAAGTGGAACTTCTAGTTTCTGAAGTGGAGTTTTTTTTTCAAATTCCCAGCGAAAAAAACTTTTTTTCTTGTTGATCCAGGTTTCTCAAAAAGGGTTACTTTCATAAAAAAAGGGGTCAAATTTAAAGTACTAGTGATCTTCAGAGAGCTTTAGAACCATATATCTATTAATTAGATATTCGAATGCTGGCTTCACTTATATCGCCATGCTCAAGCTTTTCAACGTACCAGTGATGCATTTCGAAAAAATTTCATGGTTAAGCTATATGGTATTTTGCTCCGGTTAAATTTTTGTTGATTTTCCCATTTGATTTCAGGGTTTATTTCACTAAGTTTGAAATAAGCAAACCAAGAGTGGTATGCTGTCAGGCTTCCACGTGGGTCGCCAATGTGGCATCAAATTATGAATACCCAAATCATTTTAGTTATAAGATACTACTTTTGTGATTTTTGAATAAAGAAATTTGACAAAAATTCAAATCCTCAAATTTGTAGTTGTGTGTTGTCATGTAGTCTCAGGGCCTGCAAATCTTGCCTCCAGATATGACTGCTCAATTTCCTGTAGTTTTCGAGATAAGACTTTTTAAAAAATTTTTTCTTCAAAATATCAGAAAACTTTGAATTGAAAAAGTTCGAAATATTCGAAATTTCCAACTTGTGATTGGAAACAGTGGGGTATTCTCAGGAGGTGAAAATCTGGCTTTCAATTGCGACTGCTCAAATGCTTTAGGTTTCCGAGACATGACGTTTTTTTTCAAAAAACTTGATTAAAAAAATTATGAAATCCTTAATGCCTCAGGAGTTCATATCTTGACTGCTCAATGCCAAATTTGACTGCTCAATGCATTTCACTTTCCTAGATATTGCGTTTTATGATTTTTCAATTATTTTCAAAAGTTCCAGTTTTCAAAAAAATACATCTCAAATTTTGAATTGGTCGACTCATTTGTGGTGTGAAGTGGGTTACTACCAGCAGTTGCAGATATGGCCTCCATCGTAATATTTTTGCTCAAATTGTTTACGTTTTCGAAATTGATATTTCAAATGAGATTTCAGAAATTTTATTGATATTTCAGGCCATTTTAGGGTTTTGTTTCTGAATTCAAAATTCGAACATCTGAAACCCATTAGTTCGGAGATTTAGCCATTTTAGTTTTAACAGAACCTCAAAGTTGAAAACTTTTTATCGTCCAACTTTTGAAATTATACATGTTGTTGGATGCCCCCGTATAATGTCACTGTTGCATTCCTTCCTTTGTTTTTCATATGTTTGATATATAAGCAGTTTTCACGTTTTTTAAATCTATTTGAAGCTTGAAGTTACACGCTAGTTTTTATTTAAAATTTGCAAGTTTTTTGCATTTATTTGCGTTCATTACGCTTTTCCAACTGTCAGTTGGCTATGCTTTGTTTTTGTTTGCACCAAGTTATGCAATCTTTTTTTTCCGGCTCAACAAACGTCGACCCAAGTATAATCGGCTTAGTCACCGCTGCGCAATTTTTTATGCTTAATTAAAGCTGTCAATCGTCTTCCTGATTGCGTGCTCCAAAATTTCAGTTTTTTTCCCGCAAAATAGTTTCCTTCAATGCACATCGAGACAAACGTATTTTGGTATATCATGATTTTTAAACTTTTCTTTTCTCATGCTTTGTCTCTTTTTCTGACGGCTAATTGTGTTGTATCGGTGGAAGGCTGCTTTTGCATGTGTTAAAACTGCTCCTAAAGTTACAGTAAAAGAGTAAAAGAGCCTTGAACCTCTTACCCGCGCTACCCTGAATGGTGGTCTCATTTTTCAATTTAAGAAAGATTTCCACAAGTTATTTCGATTCCGACTATTGAAAATTGGGAGGAACTTCGGGTGTTTTTTAGTTTTTGTTTTTCACGCTAAATCAGGCACCAGACGAATCGGGTCTCCCCTTGTTGGCTGACTGACTCTAAAGTTTTTCTAAAGGCGCCTTTGGCGCCAAAATATACCATTTTTGAGGGGCAACGCGCGCCGAAAACGCGATTTTTGGCCAACATTTTCCAAAAAGTGACTGAGAACTCCTTTTTTTGGCCTATTTTTTTTTTAGAAAATTGCCCGCGGCGCTGAAATTTTGGTGAAAATGGGATTTTTATAGTGATTTGGGAGAGCTTAGAAAATCAATTCTGAGCAAAAAAAAAAAAGGTCGACAAAATTTTTTTTTTTAAATCCCCCCTTCGATAAAATCTTAGACCCACCCTGAAATCAGGTATCACAAATAATCATTGGATACGTTTCAGTGATATATCATATCAAAGCTCTTTTAGTCGTGATTCGAACGATGTTTAAGTTTTTTTTGTGTCGAGAAAAACCGATTCGAAATTTTTGATTTTTAGTCTAATTTCGAGCGTCTAAAGGTGAACGAGCAAGCAGGCTCTCAATAGCTTATTTATACTTGATTTAAGCCTCGAAAATTAGTTTTTTTTCCTTTGAAATTTTGAGATTCAAAATTTAAAAAAATTCTGCGAAAAACTTTGTTTTCGATTTTTTTAAAAATTTTTCTAGTCATTTTCTACCAAAACTGTTGTCCAACTTTCCTAATGCAAAAAAACTATACTAATTTTAAAAACCTGTTTTACTTTTTTGAGATTATGGTCGGAAATTCTGTTTGATTGGCACAGCAACCGGCTATCCTTGTTTTAATTTCGGTTTGTTTTTACCTCAGTTGAATAGCAGAGACCTGGAGAATTTGAGACGTCTGATTCCGTTTCTAAACTACAACAGATTCATAACCATGGAAGTCAGCACCATCAACTTGCAACTGGTGCTGTTGAAGGATCTAGCTGTCAGATCGAGACACAAGTTCCCACTCACTCCAGCACAGAAATTCGCCATCAGCGGACAGGTATTTTTCGGAATATAAACAGAACGACTATGTAACCCGTCTTTCAGGCAGGAATGGGATCCCATTTGAAGATAAGAAACTGGTCTATTTTTAGCCGGTCCACTCTAGTTTTAGTAAAAATGCACGCAATGCATGACAAGTAAAAAGTTTGCTTTCAAAGGGTTATCACATCCCAGTTAGGGAGATGTCTTGATGACCATCAATTTGTCGAAGCATGAGGCCAAATTGTGGGTTTTGTTCAACCTTCGTTTTTTTTGAAGCTTCCTTGCCTTCTGGCTTAAACTATTTGGTCTGTTTTAGCTGACTGTTTCAACATCGAAAAGTCTCACGGAGATGGTTGTTACGTCACTGGGTCCGGAGTTGTCCATGGAATTGCCTCCCCAAGTGTTCCTCTCTGAACTGCAGTCTCTGTCCCAGTTGGGGTTTGAAGTCAATGACAATGGAGAGGTGCAATTGACATCTGCCATGGGAGAAAAAGTTGCCAGTCAATCGTGGTCTGATTTCCAGGTATAGCATTGTTCTTAGAATTGTTAGTCAGACAAACTCTGTCGGCCATCAGAATTTGCAGCATTTTTAAAATCAAATTAACCCTTGAAATTTGGTAAATTTGTTTAATTTTAGAAAAAAATAGTGACAGTAAGATAATAGTTTCTGATTCAAATATTTCCTGTACAATTTGAATATTTACACTTGCGAAGTGTTTTAGTACGAACCTTCCTGTTTTCCAACCTAAGTCGCAAATATTAGTACTAATTTGGGGCACCTTTACAGCTTTTTCATTGCATGTGCTTTGAAATTCGAATAGTAACAAGTTAACACAGTTGATGCATTTTTAATTCATCAATTGAACCGAAAAAAGTGATTTGATCCATAAAAAAATGATAACTCGATTTCAGAAATTTTCTAACTCAATATATCTCGCAGTTTTTTGAAATGCATAGTTTATACATAATGTGACTTAAGGCTTTGCGATTTATTTTATGCAAAGGTAGTGTGGATGCCCTCAGTTTGTTACATTCCAAATTTTTACTTGCAAAATTGAGTCTATTTGTATTTGGTGCCATTTATGCTGAATCGCATTGGCAATTAACAAGCATATGAAGCTGCTTTATTCGTGACTAGTGTTTGTCGGTTGATAAGCTTGCGTGACTGAGTGGATAGTGCGCGAGACTCAAAATCTCTTGATTGCAGTAGGTCGCAGATTCGAATCCTCGTAGCCGAGTTTTTGCCAATTCGAGGTTTATTTCTACTTTTTCTTATTTAACTTCATAGAGCTGTTTTCTGGTCGTGTACTCGCTAGTGTTTGCAAAGCGCAGCTTCGCCTCTGTGTAAAATTGTCGGCCTTTTTTGTAGAAAACTGTCATCTACAAGCTGTACCGAAAAGAAGCGGGGCCTCTTACCAATGTGAACGAGAAAGCTCTACTGCAGTTGAAGAAATTAGCCTCGGGAATAACAACTCAAGACATATTTTCGAGTCAGTTCTCAAGTGTGATAGGAATAACTAACGCGGTCATGACTAATGGAGGCAACATGGGCAAGGCGTGGCTACTCTCCCTCCAGATCAGAAGGGCGTTCGCGGCCATGTACGGATTGAGGAGTATCGATGAATTTGACTTGAGTCTGCTCGGAACGGCTAATTTGATGGCACTCGACGGACTCACTCTCAGAATGTTCAGGTTATCAAAAGTTTTACGAGACTTTAAAACAGACTAAAATTGGCAAAGTAATACTATTAGCTGAGAACTCTTCACTAAAAAACTCGAAAAGAGATAAAAAGATGGCTTTGTCTTATGGTTTTACGGTTTCCTGGTGATCTTTCTTTAACTCTCAATAACGACGCAAAAGTTTGCTCATAAGTTTTGCGAACCTTTGAGATTTTTTTAGTGTGAAAGAGATGGAAGGTCTTAATGCTGCCGACTGCCAAGATGTGATCAGCAAAATTGGTGGCCTCGAAGACGTCTACCTGATACCACATCCGAAGAGAAGAGAGCTAGTCTGCTTCTACATTGAGAGGTGCAGGTTCGACTACTCGCCCTCGCAGAGGAATTTTGTACCATCTTCCTCCTCGTCTATTCTGCAGAACTACAATCCCGATGACCCAAGAATCAACAGACGAGAGTACAGGTAAAACTAAACATTTGAATAATTGGATAATACAAATCTGATTGAGATCCTGATTTTAAATTTAAATTAAGCATCAACCAGTATTAGATATATATTGAGCAATTTTTCTGCTTCCTCTCGACTTCCTTAGTGTCGACGAACAAAGCAAAAACACTTATTGAGGTAGTTCTTTTAAGAGTTGATGATCGTAGTTCATACTCTTTAATAGGTCGCGATGTTTTTCAGGAAAACCCTCTAATAACTGCAGAAGTGCATTCATTTATATGAAGCATCTATGAATGCCTTTAGGTATATGTGCTTTTTAAGAGTCGATGAACGTTGTTCACACTTGCAAATCAATGTGTAGTAGTACGAACTTTCTTTTTTTTTCAACCTAAGTCGCAATCATTGTTGCTACTTATGGCAACAAAATTTGCTGCGTCGAATTTGCTGCATCGAATTGGCAATAAGATATTTTGTTGCACCTTTGAAATTTAGTTGCACCTTTACAGCTTATTGATAACATGTGCTTTGACCTTCGAATAGGTAAAAATTTACACATTTGATGCATTTTTATTTCATTAAGTGAACCGAAGAAAGTTATTTGTTTCCAACAACATAACAAAAATCAAATCTCGATTTCAGAAATTTTCTCACTCAATTAATCTCGCAATTTTTTGAAATGCTTAATTTATACATAAAGTGGTTTTATCAATTGCGATTTTTTTTTACATGCAAAGTTGTATCTTTTTGTATTTGATGCTACTTTTGCTGCATCGAATTGGCATTTTATTAGCATATGTAGCTGTGTCATTCGTGACAAGTGTTTGTTGGTTGTTAAGCGATCATGGCCGAGCGGGCAGGGCATGAGATTCCAAATCTTGACGTCGCAGGGTCGAATCCGATAAGTATCAAAGTTTTACTAATTCAAGGCTTATTTTTATTTTTTTCTATTTCACTTTATGAAGCTGTTTTTTGTCGTGTTCTTGCTTGTGTTTGCGAAGCGCAACTTCAAATTTGTGTAATTTTTGTCTTTGCTTTTCGCGAAAAACTAGGAGCGCCGTGGACGATAGTTACTGTTTAGTAGCGATCATCTTTGATATGATTTTTTTGGGACATGATTTGACTTTTTGTTGCCATTACCTTCATTTTTTGGTATCTTGGGCCAAAATTTTATTGTTCTGATCGTTTGTTCTTTGAGTTATCTGAAGGAACTATGGATTAGCTCATATTTTCCTGCCCGACTTTGACTACCTCAAAAATGTGGGGAGTCAAGCGTGGTACATATTAGAGCAAATCTGTAGTTTGAGGTGCTGTCAGAGTATTTTCAGGCGTTTAAAATTTTGCATCCAAATATGACTGCTCAAATCTTTTCGTGTTCGATATATGACATTTTTATGATTTTCTAAATAATTTATATCCCTCGGAAAAGTCAATCTATGTCCCTCGGAAAAGTCAAAAAATTTATGTCCCTCGGAAAAAACAAAGTTCTGATTTTTTGACTTTTTAAATTTTTTTGACTTTTCTCGAGAACTACCCTGCCAAACCGTGATTTTTGGATTCAATCGAGCTTTTAGGTTAGACGAATCCCTTTTGCATAAGCGGCTACGGCCATTTAAAAAAGCTAAGCTATCATTTTCGGAAATGTCAACTTTCAGATTTGTTGACAGTTTTTTGAACTTTCTCGATAACTGTCCTGCCAAATCTGATATCATAGGATTAATCGACACAACAGGTTGCTGAAAGCGTACGTGTATAATTTACTATGCCCAATTTTTTTTTAGATGGACTAGTTTAAGCGTTCAATGTGTTCAATCGAGCATCCCGAGGAAATCTTCTCTATTTTACCGGCCACTACCTGCTTTTTGCTAAAAAAAAGTGACGGGTTTCGGAAAGTCAACTTTTTGAACTTTGACCGTGTTTTAGAAAGTATTTTATTTTTTTCTGAAAAACTGCCCTTTCAAAATCTAAAAAGTTCAATCGAAAGAAGCACTATCGGAATTTTTTCTGCAAAGACGGTTAATCCTTTGAAAGAAAAAGGTTATGTCTTTGCGAAAATTCCAAAATCTCAAAAGTTTTCATAGGTTTATTTTAATAGAGAAAAAACTAAGATTTTGGGCAAAGTCCAATTTTTGAAACTACGCATGTCCAGCATCAGTATAACGAATTCCAAAAATGTCAAATACGTAGTCCCAGCTTTAGCGGGGCCTTAGGTTTCCTTCATCGGCACATACGAAAATTTTGGTTCACCTGTTTTTTTTTTAAAACCTTTTCATGTTTTTTTTTGGACTTATGCCTTCATGGTTGTGTAGTATCGCAAGTGGTGCGAGGCTCCGCTTCGCCTATGTGTTAGACTCTTTTGTGGGTAAAGATGATTTTTTTCTGGGAAAAGTCTCTAAAATTTGTTCAGGCTCAAAATTACTTCTTTTTTGGGGTTTGACTTTTGATTTCTTTTTCAGTTCAGTTCATTTCCTCGAGAAAACGAAGATAAACTCCACTATTGAACAGGAAAGTGTTAAGGTCACGAAAAACTTGATCGATTTCTAGTTTCGAAACTGGGTTTTTATTTGTCTAATTTCTAGCGGTATAAAAAATCACCGATTTATCCAGAGTTTATAAGGCTACTTATTTTCCAACCTAAGTCGCATATCTTAGTGCTATTTTTCGAAGCTTTTAAAGCATGAGGCTGCATTGGTTATTCAGCAGCATGTGTGATTTCTATTAACTTAACACAGTTGATTCATTTTCAATTGATCAAGTGAACTGAAGAAAGCCATTTATTCATGCAAAAATATCAATAATAAACGTTCTTTTTCGAAAGTTTTTCCACTCAGTATGAAATTTTCAAAATTGACATTTTAAGCTCAATTTGGCTTCATACTTTCCAATTCATTAAGCTAAGATAGTTTGGTTACCTTAAGTTTATTACATATCAAGTTATTACACTTGCAAAGCGAGTGTATTAGTACAGACCTTCTTTTTTCCAACCTAAGTCGCAAATATTGGTGCCACTTTTGGGGCACCTTTACAGCTTTTTCTTTGCATGTGCTTTGACATTCGAATAGTAATAAGTTAGCACAGATTATGCATTTTTGGTTCATCAAAGGAACCGAAAAACAGATTTGTTTCAAACAACATAACAATAATGAAATCTCGATTTCAGAGTTCTTATAATTCAAAATATCTCGCAATTTTTCGAAAAGCATATTTTATACATGATGTGGTTTTATGCGTTGCGATTTTTTACATGCAAAGTTATTGTGTTTACCTTCAGTTTGTTATAATCCAAACTATTACTTGTGTTATTTCCCAAATTATTACTTGCAAAGTTGAGTCTATTTGATTTTGGTGCCACTTTCGCTGAATGGCATTGGCACTTAATTAGCATATGTTGCTGTTTTATTCGTGACTAGTGTTTGTCGGTTGTTACGCTTGCGTGGCTGAGTGGTCAGTGCGTGAGACTCAAAGTTTTTGATTGCAGTAGGTCGCAGATTCGAATCCTTCACTTAGCCGTGTTTTTGCTAATTCGAGGCCTAATTCTACTTTTTCTTGCTTCACTTGATAGAGCTGCTTTTTGGCCGTGTTCTCGCAATTGTTCGTGAAGCGCAGCTTTGCCTCTGTGTAACATTTGTATTGCGCATTTCTTAGTTCTTTTTGCCGCTTTCTGTAATTTTCAGTGACACATCAATTGCAAAACTGGAATGTCTGATAACTAATCTTTGTTACAGCTCAACAGTTTTTTAACGGTTTTTTAAACCCTTTTAATTCTACTTTCTGGAGATTTTTGTCTCAATTTTGGTTAGTTTTACACCATTGAGCTTGATGTTTGATTACGATCTCTTTTTTTTAAACTCAAATCGCAAAAAAAAAATTGATAGCACTTTTCCTTCATAGCATTTGCAATTTAATAGCTTCTGTTTTATCGGCTTTATTGGTTACTGTTTCTTGCAAAAGACCATGGCGCGAGTGCGCAGACGTGTCAGTTGTATTATCCAGGTCGGCTGTTCGATTCCGGGACATCGGAAAACTTTTATTTTTCTAGGATTATTGTGCTTTTTCTTTCTTTATTTACTTTTTTGCGGGTTTAGAGCTACTTTTGCGGTTTCTTGATTGTCTTGCGTAGTGAAGCTTCGCCTGAGTGTGTAAAATAAATTTCATAAAATAAATGAAGCATAAAAGATCTTGAAATTCGAAGAGCTTGAAGGCCATACATTTTTTAAAAAGCTTCAAAGCCATATAAAAGTAAGTCTCTTTCCCGTCCCTCCTTTCTTTGACTTTTCTGAAATTCAATTTGTTAAAGCTTTTATAAAACTACTAGTATCAAAACTACAAAAAATGTGTCAGCGTGAACTATTGAACATGTTTCTACATCAATTTTTAATCGTTATTTTTTTTAAATTTTACAACGGGGTGGGAAACTGGAATAGAGCCAAAAATAGTTGCTCGTTTCATAATTCGTTTTCTTGATTTCATTGAATTTTTTAGCACGGTATATTGGCTTTGTTAATGAGAAGTCAATGATTCGTTTTTTATTGCAGATACGCCAGGAAAGTTTTTAACTACTGTGATGACCTTTCCCCTGTATCATTGACCTCGGGTGACTTCGAGATACTAGGTCATTTGGCCTGTGACATCCCAGCCTCAGTGATAGATGCTCCCAACTTTCCAACGGATGTGCTGTGGATGTTTCACGACTGCTGGTTCACAGAAGCACAGGGCAAGGCACTCTTCAAAAAACTCACGTTAGTTGAAGACCGCATGGTTCATAAGAAATTGGCAGTTTTTTCATGCATCCAAATAGTAAGAGCGGCAAGGACAATTGCCTATACAAGGTGAGTGTAAGACTCATAATTTTTCCGTACGCAAGATCCCAATTTTCAAAGCCTACATTAAAGTAACCTGACTCACTGAAGAAAAAATTGTACAATCGCTCAAAAGTAGACAAAATTAAGATTGTATGTTGATTTTTATGAAACTTAATATTCTAATGTGTTCTGAATTGGGAACATAAATTTTTATACCAAGTAATTTTTGAACTTTGGTTTATGGGTGATTTCATCACAACCATTAAATTTTTTGTGTAGTACTGGAGACAACCAGGAGCTACTCTATACGGACACCACCATAGCGCAACTGTCCCATTCTCTGTGCAGCATAGTACCGCCACAACACGCAACAGTGATGCGCAGCAAACGCTACAGAAAGGAGATCATAGACTTTGTTCAGTACTCCTACGTCTTAGCCAAGAAAATGCAAGAGACGTACGGGCTGACGAAGAGACACCTGAATAAAGATATCTTCTGGCAAGTGGAGTTTGGGGTCCTTATTAATTCAGTTCTTGGTGTGACTTTATGTCAAAGAATAAATTGAAATTAAAACAAAAAAATCACTTTTCTGAAAAGTGCGATGCTGCTGGGTAAATTGTAGTTTACGCTTGCGAGCAGCTAGTGTATGAGTACGAACCTTCTTTTTTTCTAACCTAATTTCCAAATAAAAGTGTTAATTTTTGGCGGCTACTTTTTCATTATTTGGTGGCACTTTCGCTATAATCACGACCTGTAGCATCTGGATCAATTAAGCATACGTGGCTCAGTGGTTAGTGCGCGAGATTCATAATCTCTAGGTCGCGATCGATCCGAGACGTAGCCGAGCTTTTACTAATTTGAGGCTTATTTCAACTTTTTTTGCGTTTTATAGAGCTGATTTTTCTTGTGTTTGCGAGCGAAGGTTCGCGTCTTTAAAAGATATTGCGGCCGCTATGAAGTAGTCAAAATTCAACCAAAAACAAAAAACTGTTCCAGGTTCATATGTCAATCATTGGGACACACAGGAACTTTTTCGGATTTTTCCATGTTATTGATCTATTATATATTTAATTGCGGGCTTCGCAATCTGTCCATGTTTATGCTGCTTCAACGTATTATTCCATGTTAAACGAAGAATTTTTTCGCGTTCAAGTTATATCGTACAATGCAATGGTTAAGAATTTTTTTCGATGTTCGAGTTTGATTTTAAAGATTATTTCATCAACTTTGAAATAAGCAACCCATTAGTGGGATGCTGTCAGGATTTCCCCAGGGGTTGCGAATATGGCCTCCAATTTTTAACATCCTAATCTTTTTAGTTTAAGAGATAAGAAATTTTTTTGTTCAGAAAACTTAATATCAAAAATAGTCACAAACGGTGAAATTCTCAACCCTGTAGTTGAGTGCTGTCAGGGTTCTTTCAAGAATGGCAATACTTACCTTAAAATATGACTGCTCAAATCCTTGTAGTTTTCGAGATATGATGTGTTTTATGATTTATTTTTAATTTTTAAGAAAACTTAAATTTTAACAATTCAATAGATTTGAAATTTCCAATCTTGTAGTTGGAAAAACTGCTTCTGTGCTCTCGCGAGTTCCAAGTTGCAAATCTTGCGTCCAAATGCGACTGCTGAAATGCTCGTAGTTTCCGAGATCTGCCGTTTTTTTCTGTTTTTTTTAAAGTTTTTCAAAGTACTTAGATATGAAAAAATTCAGGAAATCTGAAATTCACATCTTTATAGTGGGGCTATGACAGAGTAATATTAGGAGTTGCGAGTTTTGCCTCCAAATATGACTGCTCAAAAAATCTTGCTAGTTAATGAAATATGATGTTTTTTGTGATTTTATTCAAAAAACGTTTTAGAAAACTTGAATTTAATTTTTTTTTCAAATTTTGAAATTCTTAACACTTTACTTGGGGGCTGTCAGTGAACTCAGGGCTTGAAAAACTTGCCTCCAACTTTGGTTGCTCAAATTTTCGTGTTTTTGTGATGTCGTTTTTCTGGTTTTTTAAAAACAAAAATTTTAGAAAACTTAAATTTGAAGTTTCTCAAATTTTGAAATTCCCAACTCTGTAGTTGGGTACTGTGAGGTTACTATCAAGAGTTGCAAATCTTGCGTTCAAATGTGACTGCTCAATTGCTTTTAGTTTCCGAGATGTGACGTTTTTTATGTCATTTCGAACATTTTTTTATGTTCATTTTGAATGCTTATCTTATTTCCAATATATGCGGTTTTATGAGTTGTTAAAAATTCGAAGCACCGGAGGTGAGTTATACGCTAGTTTATTTTATCGTACCAGTTCATTTTATATTAACGAGCACCTTTAGGTACCGCGGAATATCTATGCAACAACAGCAGAATATTGCCGACTGCTATGTGCGAATGTCTCGCGTGGCTCTGGACTTCTTCCGAGAATATGAGCGCAACATGTTCTTGCGAAATGTTGTCGTATACGACGAGCGACTGAATCTGAACCCAAACAGTTTCCAACTGCGACCAGTCTACCACCCGCCTGATCCAGCTGCCTACGAGGCTGAAATTATGAACAGTAATTATGACACTATGGGAGGAGATGACTTCACCTATGATGTTAATGACAACAACAATAATGATAACTATATGAATACCAACAATAATGACAACACCAATAACAACAACGATGCCTATGACTTCGGAGGTGGAAATGAATATGGAGCTGACACTGAGTATGGAGGCGAGAGTGAGGAAACAGTTTCTCGACAACGTAGAGGTATTTGTGTTTTTGAATTGCTTGGTGATTAAAACTTGATGAACTTAGTTTACACTTATTACACTTGCTAGCTTGCAAGCTTTAGTGTATTAGTATGAACCTTCTTTTTTTCTAAGCTAACTCGCAAGTAAAAGTGTTCCTTAAGTGTTCCATTTTATGAAAATCTCACTGTAGGGATGAAAATTGCATAGCATCTGTTCTCGGCTTTATATGTGGCTAGTTTTTGTGATAAATTAAGCGTCCGTTGCCGAGTGGATAGTGTGTGAGACTCATAATCTGTAGGTTGAGAGTTCAAACGCGAGAATTAGCTGAGTTTTTACTAATCCGAGGCTTTTGTTTGCTTATTGCACTTTATATAGCTGCTTTTTGCCGTGTTCTCGCTAGTGTTTGCGAAGTGCAGAAGTAATAACTGCAGCAGTGCATTCATACATATGATGCATTTATGAATGCCCTTAGGTATATGTGCTTTTGTTAGTTCAATTCAAGTTCATTTGGCAAATGTTTGGCAAATTTTGCTCTCCAACTACGAAAGCTGGAATATCGCGAAAAAACATGATCATTTTCTAGTTTCGAAAGTGGAATTTAGTTTTTAGACTTTCCAGTGGAATGAAAACTTGACTGAACACAAGTTTTCTCAAATTGGGTTAATCTTATCAAAAAAGCGTCAATCATTAATTGTTCAAGAAATTCAAAGAACGACTCTTTTCCGCTTTCCCACAGATTTGAATTTCAGTTTTAAAGCACTAACTTCACGTTGTCATTGTGTAATGAAATTTTGCATAGTGATCAAAAGAACTATTGTGCACCCATTTGTTCTTCATACCTTACATAGTAACATCACACATCAGCCATAATAACATGCGAGATATTTTGAAATACGGCGGGGGTGGGGTGGAAAAAAGCCCGAAATCCTTTTAGGCCATCTAATTTTTTCTTCCAAATTTGAAATATATTGAAAAACCAAGTCAGGAGTTTTTCTTTTTCCTTGCTTTCATTGACTCTTCCCAACTGTTTGTTGGCTGCTTATATAGCTGCTTTTTGCCGTGTTCTCGCTAGTGTTTGCGAAGTGCAGAAGTAATAACTGCAGCAGTGCATTCATACATATGATGCATTTATGAATGCCCTTAGGTATATGTGCTTTTGTTAGTTCAATTCAAGTTCGTTTGGCAAATGTTTGGCAAATTTTGCTCTCCAACTACGAAAGCTGGAATATCGCGAAAAAACATGATCATTTTCTAGTTTCGAAAGTGGAATTTAGTTTTTAGACTTTCCAGTGGAATGAAAACTTGACTGAACACAAGTTTTCTCAAATTGGGTTAATCTTATCAAAAAAGCGTCAATCATTAATTGTTCAAGAAATTCAAAGAACGACTCTTTTCCGCTTTCCCACAGATTTGAATTTCAGTTTTAAAGCACTAACTTCACGTTGTCATTGTGTAATGAAATTTTGCATAGTGATCAAAAGAACTATTGTGCACCCATTTGTTCTTCATACCTTACATAGTAACATCACACATCAGCCATAATAACATGCGAGATATTTTGAAATACGGCGGGGGTGGGGGTGGAAAAAAGCCCGAAATCCTTTTAGGCCATCTAATTTTTTCTTCCAAATTTGAAATATATTGAAAAACCAAGTCAGGAGTTTTTCTTTTTCCTTGCTTTCATTGACTCTTCCCAACTGTTTGTTGGCTGCTTTTTTTTTAAATATAGGTTTATATGCAATTGTGCGCAAGAAAGTTTAAATGTATAACATTGATAACATTTAAATATTGAGCAACTAAAAGCATATTTTTGTCATCTAAGTAATTGTGGCTTTAATAATAAGCTGTTAGGAGCTATGGTGTTTTTTGTTACGAAAAAGACTTATCAATCTTTAATTGCCGCCGTATTTGTACACAAGTCGTTTGTGGATAATGATTCATCAAACTGGGTGATTTGTTCTCTAATAATAAGTAAATGAACGAAGTGTTAACGCAAAGTGTTAATGAACGAAGTGTAATTTATGTTTTCGTAGGTCATGTGATTTTTTAGTGTTTTGTTTACAGAAAAGTTTATAAAGCTCTCAAATTTTGTTGAGCGGGTCCTTTCTGATTTTTTGTCTGCTGAAATGGAAGGCAATTTACGCTCTCTATTGACAAAAATTCGCGCAAAAAGCGTGATCTACTTTAAGTTTCAAAAGTGGATTTAAGTTGTCGGGTTCTTCAGAAAAAGACCTTTAAGACGCTATTTTTTGTTTGAGACTCAGTTATTTATATTCGATTTTTGGGTTCGTTTCATTCAAACTTTTCCAACAGTCTGTGCGTTTTGGTTCCTTGGTAGAGAATGATACTTGTTACTGTGGAGTACGAAAGGTGGACCTATGCACTACTGTCAATTTTAGAGTACTTTGACTATCTGCAGCAGAGGATTACGTGCCCGGAGGTGCATGTACTGAATACTGGCAACCGAGTGTGGAGTCTGATGGATTTGGAGTGGATGCAGCCAGAGGAGTTGTCCAGGTGTATCTTCTATTTCGGAAATAATCCCAACATGACATTCCAGCAACGAACCATTCTAAAGGACAAGATCGCAATGGTAAATTAGTTCTTACCCGAATTTGTACAACTGTGAGAAGTGTCTCGCACTGAATTAATTTTATTAGTAAACAGAACTTAAGTATACAGATACAAACTGTTTTCAGTTTCAATAATTTAGCTAATTTAATGGGTATCAACAACCGGGTTCACAAGATGACTTAAATTTAAGTCATCTCAAATTCTGTTGGTCAGTTTTTTTCGTCAACGAACAGACGACTTTTTTTGGGAATACCTGCGTTTTAAATGCCCTTTCTATACAAATTTTTTGTTGGGTGTATAATTACCAACACCGGTTTAAGTATATCGGTTATTCGATCTTTTTTTTCTTTCAACCTAATCGGCTTCAAAGGTTTCGGCTTATATTATATCGGGTTTGTACCGTCAAATTGCCTCGTTTGAGCCATTAATTTTTTAGACTGTGTTTTGAGGGAGGGGACTTGAAATTTTGTCGGTTTCAAGTTTTTTAACCCCTGGGATCAGCAAGGGTATTGCAATCGGGAACTAGATTTTTTTCCCGTAAATCACTTAGTTTGCAGAATAGTCAAAATTAGCAATGGTAAAAATTTAGGTTCAGGTCATTTTGAATTGAAAAATTTTTGAGTCTCCGGCTCAAATGGCCTTGAGGTAACGCATATGCCTGGGACGGCAATGCTCCTGGGTTCGAAACTGACAGTACCTGTTTTGTTTTTGCAAACTGGGAATATTTTGTTCAAAGAGCTTAAAAGGCATCTATTTTTTTCTTTGAAATTCGAAAGTTGAGATTTTTTCAAGAAATTAGTGTTTTTTTAATGTTTACTTGCGTTCATTACTCTTTTCCAATCTTCGATTGGCTACGTTTTGATTTACTTCTGCTGTTTGTAATTTCTTGACTTCGTCAGTTTTTTTTTGTCGCTTAAAGTCTATTCTGTCCAAATGATTTTGGCTTAATCTTTCCTCGGCTTAGTGACCTAAGTTGAAGGTCGTGTGAAGGTTATCATATTTTGAAGGCCCACTGGGTTGCACAAATTGCTACAATCGTTATAGAAATAATAGCTCAAGTTTTTGGTAGCAACATTTTTTGGTCTTTTTTTCTCGGCTTGATACATTTTGGGTTTTTGGGCTCAATCTAATGGCCTCATATTGCGTCTTTTGATGAGCGTAAAATTTTTTTATAGCGTGTGTATGTTTTGAGGGGGAGGGGGATTTGTTACAATTTTTTGCTCTAACGAGCAGCTAGTTTATTAGTACGAAACTGCTTTTTTCCGAACCTAACTCGCAAATAAAAGTGTTCACTTATATGGAAATTTCGATGTAGCATTGGAAATTACATAGCATCTGTTCTGTTTTATCTGTGGCTAGTGTTTAGTATTAATTAGGCGCACGTGGCTGAGTGGTTAGTGCGTGAGACATAATTTCTAGATCGCAGGAGATAATAGGTCCTGATGCCGAATTTTTAGTAAGATGATGCCGAATTTTTTTGTAATTCGAGGCTTCTTTCTACTTTTCTTATTGTCTTAGAGCTGCTTCTTGTGTTCTCGCTAGTGTTTGCGAAGCGATGCTTTCCCACTGTATTAAGTCTTTATTCTTGTAGATTTGTTTCTGCTAAGGTTTTTTCAGCGTTATTTTCGCTGGGTAATTTTTCTTCCGATTCGAATATTACATTATTTTATCCTGGCATGTTTTTGTTTCAAAACTAGCCTGACTCATTTTGATAGATCTAGTTTTTTTATAGATTTAATTTCGGGTTTTTTCCGACTTGTAGGTTTTGTGATGCTGTATTGAAAGTGGTGCGAAGCGCAGCTTCGTTCTATGTTGAGGATTTTTTCCCGGCTCAGTGGGTTTCTGCTTTAACATTAAATTTTGCAGAAGGAACTTCATTCATGACAAACATGGAGCAGGTGAATCTAGTTTTTTTCTTTTTAAGAGTCGATAAACGTAACCCAGTCTTTTATATAGGCCGTGATGGTTGTGATTTGATGAAAGTAGTTCAGACTCTTATACAGGTACTGATAATAGGTAATGTTTTAAATTATTTTTATGAAAAGTCTCAAATATTGTTCATGCTTAAATTTTGGCGGTTTCATTTATGATCTCTTTTTAGATTCAGTTCATGTCCTTCCTTAAAAGGAAGGCAAACTCCACTATGGAACAGCAAAAGTGTATAGGCTAGGAAAAACGTTCGAAAATGGAATTTAATTATCGAATTTCTCAACAAAATAAACAATTTACTCGTTCATCCTGTTTTCTTAAATTAAGTTAATTTATCAAAAAAGTGTAAATCATAAATTGTTCTTACAAAATCGAAGATGTTCAAGACTATCTATTTGTTTCTTTGAAATTCGAAATTTGAGACTTCAAAAAAGTCAATATTTTTTCTTTACTTTCGTTCATTGACTCTTTTCCTAAGGTTTTCGTTTCATTTTTATTTTAATTTTACCAAAGTTTATCGTTTCATTCCTTGTATGTTTTTTTTATCGCAAGCGGTGCGAAGCTCTGCTTCGCCTCTGTGTTTTAAGATGAATTTACGAGTTTACAGGAATCAATGTCTCAATACTAGTCATTTTTGGACACGATCTGCAAACATGAACGGGTCGTTTAATATACCGCTGACTAGCGAAACTACCAATATCATGTTTTACTGAAAAATAAAACTCCTTCGAAAAAAAGACAGACCAGAAGTAGAATTTCGAGCTAATTTTCTCTGAAACAAAAAACTGAGGACTGTTTTGTTATCTGTCGCAGTCCATAGATAGCTCGACCTATTTTGAGACCGTCTTTGGCCAAAAAAGGGCCTGAATCTTCTAGTATACATGATATACGGTGAAAAAAAACCCAGGTAAGTGGGACAGATTTGAGATATGGAGCTACTGAAGCCTAAGTTTTAGGTTAGGCTCTTATCCAAGCGTTGGGTTAAACACGGAATAATTCTCTTGCGGCATCCGCTTATCCAAAGTGCTTATGAGATCCTATCGAAAAATTACAAAGCACGTTCTTCCTATTGCAGAACTGCAGAAATGAATGAGCCCCCATCTCAATCCCAAACAAATTCTCAGTATTATCAGACTCAATTGGAACCTAACAGATTTGAGACACATTTGGATACCCTCTAAACTCTGCTAGAACATCAATGAAAGGCGTGATCAAAGTATTCAATTAATCGAACTGATGTCAAGAAATCCACTTCGAAGCACAAGCTCACAAACTTTTAATGTTTCCTATTTATACTGCTTACTTAGTTTTTCATTTGAATTTTGATGGTGATTCGTCTGACTTTCAGTGAATATATAAATGTGTTTTGAGATACAACCCATCTAGTGTAAAATTTCTTTTGTCCTGTTCAGTTTTTTATCCAGGTTTTGTTGTTTGCTTAGTTGGTGGGTGGTTTTGGAAACATCCCCGCAGAATACCTGATCCAGATGGGATCCATTGCACTGACCATGCGTGAGTGGGAGCTGCGGGCTTTGAAGATAGCTGACCCCCAGGTGATGTACTTTGTGGGGGAGTGGAATTGGGCCAAGTGGCAGAGAGTCACACTCTACTTGATGATCCGAAAAAGGCGAGCTCACACTTTTCACTCATAAGCTTCTATCATACGTTTTACCCAGTTTTAGCATACGTTTAACGGTATCCAAAAAAAACGTGTGTCCGTCCGAATGTTTGACTAGGGAACCGATCTATTAGCATGCGGTGACTATATTCAACGCGCATGTGTTACAAGCGTTCACTACTTGTCAATGGCACATGAAAGAAAATGTGGCATTAAAGAAATCAAAGAGAAATTATTCCAATTGCGCATGCTAGTTGTGTGCTTCGATATTGTATGTTTTTAAACCATGATTTGGATTCCGAAACAAAAATTAAACACTTTTAGTGAAGAGCGGATAATTTAGCGAAGATTCTTCATTTTGTACGATGAGCAGTTCCAAGTGATAAAACATTAATAATGAAATCATTTGCTTTGGAGAGATATAATATTGTGTCTGCGTGTTGTATTGGCTGCAGATTAATTCACAAAGAAACTTATTGGAAAGAAGTTCAATATAGGTATTAATTTCTTCGATTTTCATCTTTAGTGCAATTTAAGCTGTGATCGGAACAGACTCTGCTCCTGGTGTCACTATGAGCTTCCTTCATTGCTTTTATTTTGGCTCTGAGCTTTACCAAAAAAGAGCATTTTTGCTAAATTTTCTAATTTTGACAGAAAATTAGCATTTGAGAATATTTTTGGGCGGTGATGAGTCAAGTTTCAAAGGGATTGTGTTTTGAATTAAATTTATTTATTGCGGTTTATTGTTTGTAGCGCTGAAGATATGCAATCAAGCTTTCTTGTATTTATCTGGAAAATAAATTTTTGTACTTTTAGTTATAAGCTCTTCCCCGCTGGCATGGAGACATGGGATATCAAGTCATTGGGAGAGTTCGTCTGTGGTATGCGTCCTGTGGATTTGGCGAGATTCTACACAGAAACCTACTAGTAAGTCATGTGGCTGTACAATTTTTTTAAAGAGTTGATGAACGTAGTAGTTTAGATTCTTATGTAGGTCGCGATGATTTTTTTAGGAAAAGTCTTCGAAATTTGTTCAGGCTCAAAATTACTTTTTCGCTGTTAAATTTTACTTGTTGATCCAGTTTTCTCAAATTGAGTCAACTTTATCAAAAAAGTGTCAATCATTAATTGTTCTAGAAATTCAAAGAGCATTAAGGCCATCCATTTTTTTCTTTGAAATCCGAAATTTTTAAAAATTTAACCCATATTTTTTTCTGTTTGCGACCATTGACTCTTTTCCAGCTGTCTGTTGGATTTGATTAAGAGTAATGAATTTAGTGAGTACTCTTATATCGGTCTTGCTGAGTTTTTTTTAAGGAAGTTTTAAAAATTTGTTCACGCTCAATTTTGATTTTTCGCTGTTTGACTTGTGAATTCTTTTGAACTTTTTCTAAGCATTCTACCGTTAAAAGGAGGGCAAACTCCACTATCGAACAGCAAAATTGTAAAAGTCACGAAAAGTATGATCGACTTCTAATTTCGAAAATGTAAATTAATTATCAGATTTCCCAGCGAAATAAAAGTTTTACCTGTTTGATCCAGTTTTCTCAAATTGGGTTAATTTTAACTTAAAGGTGTCCGTTATCAACTATTCTACAAATTCAAAGAGCTTCAAGGCCATTTATTTTTTTTCGAAATTCAAAAGTCATTTTTCTCAGTTATCCTGCGTTCATTATTCTTTTCCAACTGTCAGTTGGCTATGTTTGTTTGTACAAACGTGTAGCGATTTTTAACAATTATGTTAAGGAAGGCTCTTTCTCCTTATGCCCCCTCTAAAGAAAAACTGTTGTAGGCCTAGAGTTCGTTCTGACTGCCATATTTACACCATCGAGTTTGCGAGCGATAGTGTATTAGTTTTCTAATTCAACTCGCAAATAAAAGTGTTCATTATTTGGGAGTACTTTTGCTATAATCACGATCTGTAGCATGAAAATTTGATAGCATCTGTTCCTGCTTTATTTGAGCCTAGTTTTTTTTGTTAATTAAGCATCTGTGGCTGAGTGGATAGTGCGTTAGAATCATGTTTTCTAGGTTGCCGTAGGTCGCAGATTGAATCCGAGAACTAGCTGAATTTAAACTAAGTCGAGGCTTATTTCTACTTTTTCTTATCGCGCTTCATAGAGCTGATTTTGGTCGTGTTCTCGCTAGTGTTTGTGAAGCGCAGCTTTGCCTCTGTATTTGATCTTTCTTTTGTTTTGTTTGAGAGTCAATGAGCGTAGCGAAGACGCTTATATTGGTCGTGATGTTTTTCTTTGCTTTTTTTCAGCAAAAAATACTAAAGTTTGTTCAGGCTCAAATTTGTTTTTTTTTCGCGGTTTGACTATTGATTTCTTTTTAAGTTCATTTCTTTTGAGAAAAGAAGGCAAACCCACTGTTGAACAGCAAAAGTGTAAACGTCGCAAAAACCCGATCGACTTATAGTTTCAAGAATGGATTTTATTTTCACCATCTGAATGAAACTTTAGGTAACAGGCGACAATTCGTAACAGGCGACAATTCGTAACAAGCGAAAATTCATAACAAGGCATTGACAAGTAGAATACGCTTGCTCCACAGCGTTTACATCCGGCATAGGTGAAAAATATATGCGTGGGAATCAGTGTTCCCCGTTTAATTTAATTGTCGCTTGTTACGAATTGTCGCTTATTACGAATTTTCGCTTATTACAAAAATTGGACTCTTACGAATTATCGCCTCACGATTGATCCATTTTTTCAAATTGAGATAATGTAACAAAAAATGTGTCAATCATAAATTGTACTTTAAACCATGAGCTTTGAGGCCATATATTTTGTACTTCGTTTTGAAATTCGTTTTTCTTTGTTCAGCTATTTTTTTTCTGTTGCATTCATTGACTCTTTTCCCACTGTCTGTTTGCTCATGTATGTCTGCTGTTTTAGTTTGTTAGCATTCTTCTTCGCGGAGCTGTCGACGTGTAACTACAAGCAGCTCAAAATGATCTTACCCAAAGCCAAGTCCACGGCATCTTTTGGACCTGTGAGTGGATGGACTGACGCAGAGATCCTGGCCATAGGATCCCCTCTGGGTAAGAGTTGCCGGAATTACCCTTTCAAGTAGCAAAAGTGTTGTAACTGAGAACCATTTTAGAAATTTAGTATTCAGACCAGTAAAAATAAGGCCTTCTTGGCGTTTAAAGTACCAAATTCGATATGTGGATGTAAATGTGGTATGTATCGATATGTGGATGTCACATGGACCAAATGTGATATGTAGACTCAAATGGTTGTAAAAATCCGTGATTCTCAGTAGAGTTACGTAGATTTTTTGGGCTTCTTGGGTCGTTACAATCGAACAATGTCGAAAAATGTTATACTGCCGAAGTTTAACATGGAAGGCGATGGAGGAGCTGTCGGCTTTATTCCGTCAGCCTATTTATCCAATGTAATATTTTTCGGCTGTGTTTTATTTGAGCAAGCTCCAACAGTAAAGGAGTTTCACTGTTCATTTTTTAAATATTTTTGTTTTAAAAAGCATTGAAAACCTCTTATATAGGTCGTGATTATTTTGTTACGACTGGTGCTAAATTTAGTAAGCAGTGAATTTACAAATATCAGATTTTAAAGAGTCGATGAACTTAGTTCTGACTCTTACATAGGTCGTGATGATTTTTTTGGTTGATTTTTTTCCAGGAAAGGTCTTATTTGTTTTTTTTTCAGGAAAGGTCAATTTACTTTTTCGCGGTTTGACTTTTGATTTTTTGTTTTCTCATGATCCAGTTTTCTCATATTGGGTTAATTTTATTTTAAAAAGTGTCAATCATAAATTGTTCTAGAAATTCAAAGAGCTTTAAGGGCAAAGATGAATATTTCTTCTTTCAGCTAGCTAGCGAACTGTACGTCTTGTAGTGACATGTATTTTTAACTTCAGCTGCCCTGTCGGTGTCCGAGTTTGATTCGTTGACCCCGTCGAAGAGCAGTCATGGAAACAGAGTTGCAGCCATCGCCCCCCATGTCATTCCCATCATACCGCCCTCCACTCTGAAAAAACTCCGAGTAGAGTTTTTCCAGAGCATGACCATTGAACAAGTCATAGCCATGAAACCCGTGCAGTGGGGCGCACTAAACGATGGCCAGGCATTCGCGGCTATGGACATCTGGTTCGGATTCGATAACTGGCCTATGTCTTTTCTGAGAGACCTACAAGCGGCATCATCGCTGAATATTCAGCCTCTTAAGTCACTTGTCTTAAGTCTATCCCTTTTTACATCTCTGTACCGCTTTTTGTAAATAGAACGATCATAAAAAACTTTGCTAAGGATCCAATACTTTTCGTTGAATTTGAGTCAACTTTTAATATACTTAACCAGATTTTTAGTTTTTGTGTAAATTCGTCGTGTTTTACAAGCGTAACCTCATTGGCCTTTCATCATATGCTGAAATAGTTTTGATACCATTCATTCTCTATTCTAATCTTTCCGTTTAAAGTTTTAATGTAAATCTGCGAACGAATTTTAATTTCTAGAAACGAATACAATTTGATAAATTATGATTCACTGTTGAAGCTTTGTCAGTTTTGGTTTGGTAAAAACATGCTCTTTCATGTGTTTATTATCTGCATTGTTAGTTGCTTTGCAGTGTACATAAAATTTGTTATAGTCTCAATTTCTTGAACAAATGGCGTGACTTTACTTCTGAAGTTTTTCGCGCTTGCGGCTACATCAGTTTTGTTGCACAAGTTATTCTCACATATCATCTCAAAATAATGCCAATGAAATGTCTACAGTAGATTATCCTGCTGTATTGTTTAAATTAGTCGACATAAATAGCATTAATGAATGAACTTTTTGTAATGTTGTGATATAATTAAATTTGTTAAAAGCTGGATTTTTCAGTAGCTTAAGAAGACTTTGGTAAATGATTTTTCTCGAAAATGATATATCAGGAAAATATATTAAAAATCAAAAATTCAATTTTGCAGGCCCGAATTGCGATCATGGGATTTTAAAAAAAAAGCGATAAAAAACTTGCAAAGGCTCTTTTGATAAGGCAATATTCATGAGATATGATGAATTTCTTCGTTTCTGGTTATGCATTTTATTGTTTCAGTTTGCTGATTATTTTGACTCAAGGTAATTAATAATCAGGGACTGTGAATTGAGCAGACCTCCCAGACATAACCAGGACATATAAAATAAGGATGGCACGTTACTGTGCAAATAGCACAGAATGTTCCGACCATAGTCTTTAAAAAACAACAAGAAAGAAAGTTTTTTCTTCGCGGTGCGATAAAAGGATCTGACGTTAAACTATAATTTAGGCATATCCGACAGTGGTAATTTTTTAGGCAAACGGGACAACAGCTTTTGAAGAAAAATGACTAGAGGAACAAAAAAATCATAAAAAATTTTTCGAAGAAATTTTTTTGGAAGTTTTTGATTCCCAAAATGGCAATTAAAATATACAAGAAGTAATTTTTACTGGAGTGAAAATAAAATTAGGCTTAAATAAGCTATTGTAAACGGTCTAAATTAAGCATAAATAAGCGAGCTTGCTTGCTTTACTCGCTCGAATTTGACGAAAAACCAAAAATTTCAAACCTGTTTTTCTTAAAAGTGGGAAAACTTTTTCAAAATTTTAAAATGTCGTTCGAATCACGACTGAAAAGGCTTTAGTATGATATATCACTCAACCCAGTCCGATGATTTTTTGAGGTACTTGATTTTGCGTGGAAAGCAAAAAGAAGAAAAAAACTAAAACACCCGAATACAAAGTTCCTCCCCATTGTCAATGGTCGGAACAATAACCTTACAAACAAATCATCGCTTTCTAAAAAGTGGCAATAAAAATATTCTTAAAATAGATTAGCTAAAACAGTAGAAGAGCTGGAGACTTTGAGCGGCGAAGGATTCTACATTTACATCCTCTACTGAGTGTAAGTTAGTGTAAATCCAGACGGCCCGGGAGGTGTGCATTTGGATTGATAGATTGTAGTTTTTTGTTTGTAACGAGTTTTAAAAAAAATAATTTTAAGATGACCGAAATGGAAGTGAGTGAAAATAGCGGCACAAGTGAAGATGTCGCGAAAGTTTCCGACCTAACAGTTGGCAACAACGTCTCGGCTGGTAGCAGTTCAAGAAATAATCGTACCAAAGTGTTGAGTGAGGAACTGAGACGCTCTTTGATGAATTTGGACGAAGAGAGGAGAAAGATTGAATTAGAGATAGCAGAACTGAACGAAATGCTCAACAATGAGATCGGTGAGTGTGAAGGGTAATTATCGCATGCCAATTTCTGAGCAAGAGATGTCGATCATGTCGATCATCTCTGAGCAAGAGATGTCGCATGTCAATTTCTGGGCAAGGGAGTATGTTATCAAAATACCGCCAAAAGTTCAAAGAGGTTAAAGGGCATCTATTTCTTTCTTTGAAATTCGAAAATTGAGATTTTTCAACAAAGTCAGTGGTTTTTATGTTTACTTGCTTTCATTGCTCTTTTCCTATCTTCGATTGGCTATGTACATTACATTCAAAGAGCTTTATGGGCATTTTTTGAACTTTGAATTTCGAAACTTGAAAATTAAATCTTTTCCAACTGTCTGTTTGCTGTGTTGTACATAAGCGTACCTTATTACACTTGCGAAGCTAGTTTATTTGTACGAACCTGAGTCGCAAATATTGGTGCGGCACCCCAATAATGGTGGGGCACCTTTACAGCTTTTTCATAGTATGTGCTATGAAATTCGAATAGTAAGAAGTTAACACAGTTGATGCATTTTTAATTCATCAAATGAACCGAAAAAAGTGATGTGTTTCAAACAACATAACAATAATTAAAACTCAATTTCAGAAATTTTTTGAATGCATAATTTATGCATAATGTGGCTTTAGGTTTTGCGATTTGTTACATGCAAAGTTATTGTGAATGCCTATAGTTGGTTATATTCCAAATTAATACATTCAAAATTGAGTCTATTTATATTTGGTACCATTTTGCTGAATCGCATTGGCAAGTTATTAGCATATGTAGCTGCTTTATTCGAGACTAGTGTTTGTCGGTTGTTAAGCTTGCGTGGCTGAGTGGATAATGTGTGAGACTCAAAATCTCTTGATTGCAGTAGGTCGTAGATTCGAATCCTACACGTTGCCGAGTTTTTGCTTATTCGAGGCATAGTTTTACTTATTTAGTTCACTTGATAGAGCTGCTTTTTGGTCGTGTTCTCGTAAGAGTTTAGGAAGCGCGGCTTCGCCTCCGTGTTGTAACACTACAAAGCTACTTTTTTCCTTCAACAGCAAATTTTAATGCTTTATTTTCAGCGACTTCGCGAACATAATTTGAGCAAGTCTGTTTTTAAATTACCAGTTTTTTTCGTTATTTTACGCTCTCGATAAGCAATGGTGTTGCAATCGGGTAGTAGATTTTTTTTTTCGTAAATAAGTTTGCTCACTTGGTTTATGTGGACTCATTCATCTCCTGGTCCTCTTAGTTGGAGATACTGCAATGAGCATATTTTCAACTTGCTAGCCTTTTAACAACCGTTCTATTCGAAGTTTGATTTTTTTTCTGTTGATTGTAGCTTTACCAACTTGACTTTTTAAAATTTCATTTTTCTTAAAGGATTTTGACTAGTGACTTTACTATGCGTCGCTTGATGAGCGAAAATTGTTCTTGTTCCCTTGTGTGTATTTTGTGGGGAATGTGCAAGTCTTAATGATTTTTTGTCATAAATGGTTTCTGCTCAGCCGTTTTTTGCTTTCTTGCCGCTAAGTAAATCTTCTTTCAATGCTATTTTGACATCTAACTGTTTTGTTAAGATTTTTTCCATGAAATTTATTTCTATTCAATTTGATAGATATAGTTTTTTCGACATTTTTGACCTAGCGGGTTTCTTGTGTTGTATTGCAAGTGATGTGAAGCTCTACTTCGCCTGTCTTAAGTTTGTTTTAAATTTATCAATCCGCGATATCTGTTTTTCGTTTTCTATGATTTTCGCTTAAAATAGAAGCGTTTTCATAGAAGCGTTTTCGCTTAAAATTTATTCTTCTTTGGTGGTTACGTCTAGTGTGATTTCGGCTTAGTTGCTTTTCAATGCGTCGTTTGAAGGCTGAAAGTTGGTTTTTATGCGTGCTTTTGTGTGTGTGTGTGTGTGTGATGTATGTGTGCTCGTTAATATTTCTATGACATTTGTTTGACTCAACAAGGGTCTAGAAAGTATTGCCGGTCTAGATACCGCTTGGTATTTTTTTTTGCGAAACTGATTTTACGCAGGCAATAGTCTGTTTCGAAAGAAATAGAGACAAACGTATGAAAATTTGGTAGAATTAGTTTTTTTTCTACAGTTTCTTGCCAAACATTTTTTTCGGCTTTACATTCTCCTTTTCAGTTGGCTAGCTTGCCTAACTGTGTTTTTAATGCATTGAAAGTGATGCGAAGCTCTGCATCGCCTCTGTGATTTCTTTTCAATGATTGGTGCATGAAGTTCCTGCAGATTGCTTGTCGACCACTGATAGATGCCATTAAATAATTCTAAACGGTATGAAAGGTTATACGGTTTCATCGTATGAATTTTTATACGGTTTCCTGAAGTTGAACCCTAAGATCAAATTGTACGCGCTGATAATTTTTGTTTACCAATAACTTTCGAAATAACGAAACGTTTATAATAGTTTTGCGGGAATTTTTATGAGTAATGAACGTAGTGAAGACATATGTCTTGGTGATTTTTTTTTGTTTTTTTTTATACAGGAAAAAGTTTAAAAATGCTCTAAAAACTACAGATCTGCATTCATACATATTAATGGATTAATGAATGCACTTACGTGTATATGCTTTTTTGAGCTCAATTGAAATTCATGTGCTGAAATTTACGTCAATAGCACTCTCCAAATACGAGTGTGGAATTGGCTCAAAAATTCGAGAACCATTTCTAGTTTCGAAAGTGGAATCTATATCTATCTATATCTGTACTATATTTAAATGCGAGTTTAGCGAAAGAATTTTTTCATGCTTAAGCGATATCATATATTGCAATGCTTCAGAAAACTTTTCAATTAGTTTTCCGCAAGGTCTTTAATTTTTCAGTATTTTTTTTCGAGGCCAAATTAAGTCTTTCTGTCTGTCTATATACCTGCTTTTTAAAATAATTTGATTATGTCTGTCATCTATTATCTATCTATTATATATTTAAATGCGGGCTTCACTATCTCGCCATGTTTAAGCTTTTTCAACGGATTATTTTTGCATGTTTAAGAAAAGAATTTTTTCACGTTTAAGCTATATCGTATATTGCAATGGTTAAGGTTTTATTTTCGATTTTCCAGTTTAAATTCAGTGTTTATTTCATCAAGTTTGAAATTAGCAACTCAATAGTAGGATGTTGTCAAAGTTTTGCCAGGTTTTGCGATTCTGGCCTCTATATATGAACAACCGAATCCTTTTAGTTTACGAGATAGGCAATTTTCGAGATTTTTCAAAAATTTCTAGAAAATTTAATTTTGAAAAATTCTCAATTTTGAAATTTTCAACCTGTAGTTGGGTGCTGTCAGGGTACTCACAGGGTTTGCAAATCTTGACTCTAATTCTCACTTCTCAAATCCTTGTACTTTCGAGATATGACGTTTTTTATGATTTTTTCAGAAAATTTTCAAAAACTTAAGATTTTACAAAATTTCAAAACGTTGAAGATCATAATCCTCTTGTAGGATATTGTGAGGGTATTCTCAGGGGTTGCGAATCTTGCCTCTGATTATGGCTGCTCAAATCCTTGTAGTTTTCGAGATATGACATTTTTTTTGGATTTTTTTCAAAATTTTTCAAAAAACTTAGATATAACAAATTCGCAAAACTTGAAATTACCATCTCTGTAGTGAGGCTCTTTCAGCGTACTCTCAGTTTTTGCGAATTTTGCCGCCAAATAAACTGCTCAAATCCGTGTTTATTTTTTAGATTTCCAGCGGATTAAAAACTTCACCTATTGATCCAATTTTTTCCTAAGTTAGGTTAATGTTATCAAAAAAGCGCCATCATAAATTGTTCTTGAATTTCAAAGATGCCCTTTAAACTTTTTGAAATTCATCTTTTTTTTAATTTCGCAAGTTGAGATTTTTTCAACAAAGGTAGTGTTTTTTTCTGTATACTTGCATTCAAAGTCTTGCTGCTTTTCTATGACTAATAGAGATATTAGAAAAACCAAAAAGTTAATCTACGAAAATTAAGTGTTTGCGTATTTTTGTGCTATTCGAGTTAAGCGTTTGATATTTGAGCATTATTTTTTGAAGGTGCTGGACTGCACGAACCACTGGTAGACTCGGAGGACTACCCTCGCAGTGACATAGACGTGCATCTGGCCAGAATATCCAGACACAGAGTGGCATGTCTGCAGACTGACCACAGCCAGATCATGTCCCAGATACAACACAAACTGCACCAGCTGCACTCCCTCACTCGAGACAGGTTCGTGTTCAGTGAATTCAGCTGTTATCTTTTTAAGTCAAGCTGTTATCTTTTTAAACTTGGGCTCTGTTCCAGTCCCCCCGTTTACAAGGTTAAGTATGAAGACCAAGTATGTTTGTCATAGCCTAACTATTCCGCATGCCGCCAATTTTTAATTTATTCGGAGAATAGTTTTTGAAAATTCGAGTGGGAGGGGGGAGCATTTGCTTCGCTTATCCATTTCAATGCGTTGTCTGAAAAGGCTCTTTTGAATTATGTTAAGACAATCTATCATGGCTGTGTTTATAGATCGGCACTATCACCTGATGAAAGATCACTAAACGAGAACAGTGCCGAGAACGATCCGAAACCATACATACCACCTCCCACTTTGGAACCTTTCCTCAGAGTCGAGCAAGTTATTGACGGATCGCCAGCTTACAAAGGCGGATTGAGAAACCAAGATCTAGTGCTTCGTTTCGGATCAGTGACGAAAGATAACTTCAATGACAACCTAGCAGTGATCGGAAATATGTTGTCGGGGCACCAGGGCTCGGTTATAGGACTTGAAGTGACCCGTGAAGAATGCCAACGGCCTTTGAGGTTGTCACTCACTCCCCATGTATGGTCGGGGAGGGGTTTACTCGGCTGCAAAATGGTACCGTTGCCGAAATAGGAATATAGTAATTGAAGTCTCCCAAGTCCGTGAGATGGAAATGCAAAGTGACTGGTCGTCAGAAAAATTGAAGCAACTGTAGTGTTTAGTAAGATAGACTTGAAATGCAATATAACGATGTGCATACTGTAGATCTAATTTTGAAGAACATAAAAACAAGTTTGGCTTTTTCTTACGAAAACTACTTACGCTGTTGAGTGAGTTTACATGGTTTATTGTATTTCGAACTTAAATAATTTTAATTAAATTTTGGCGTATATTGGTTCCTTGATTGAGTAAAATTTGTTTTAGGATATTTTTTGTGCGAACAGATCTATCAAGATAGTAAACTGTGTTGTTGCAATTATAATCAACTGTAATATTAATTACACAAGCAATGTTTGTGTTACAAGATCGTTTTCTTTCTCCATCTTCAATACCAAGTATGCAAATTTAGTTTGAGTGTTAATTTTTAATGCGATTTAGTTTCTTTAATGCAATTTAAATAGCATGATATTTAAGAGCTTGACATAATTGCTTGATATTAAGAGCATCAATTGCTATCTGTTAATGGCTATTAGAGTTTTTTGGAAGCAGTGAAATCCAAACTGTAGTAGAGAGTTGAAATTATTGGCAAGGCCATTTCATTTCGTTTTGGAACGATTCATTGAAATTATTGTTCCGACTTTCGGTACGAAAGTAACGGAATATTTGTGCTCGGGGTGGGTTTTTTCTTTCTTCAGACAAATTTCGACTTTTTAACTAACCATTTTTGACGGAATTTATATCATTCAAAAGGTATTGTTGTCCTGAGCTCAAATTTGAAAAGATATTTCACCTGTGATCATTTTTCGTAAAGTTATGGGGGTTTAAAGATTGCCATTTTGGCCAATTTGGGACAATTAACGCGCGTTATATTTCGCGCTATTAACGCGTAAGCGGAGATTTAATCCGTCTTATAAATCGTTCCAAATTGGTTAAAAGAAGCTTATTTGCCATAATTGATTGGTTACAAGGAGCTAAATTTATCTTTTTGTACTTTAAATGGCGTGTGGGGGGATGATTTTCATAAAAAATAAATTTTATTACAAATTTTATTAAGTTTTTAATGTTATTACTGCTCCATAAAACCTTAAAAGGCAGTCGGAACATTCAGGGCTTCGCCCTGATACGAGCAGTCTTGTTGGCTTTAATTATTGGATCGAGTCTGGCTTCAAATGGCAAAATTTTCTCTTGTTTAATTCTTTGATGTTTACCGAAGTCCCCTTTGAAGTAAGTGTTCATTTTGGATTAAAACGGCGTGGAGTTAAAGAAATGGTTTTAAAATGTGGCGATGTTAAATTGCTAAGGAAGCAAAAAGTAGGGAGAGAAATTGTATGGTATTAAGTTGTTTAGTGTTAAATTGGGGGTTAAATAACGTGGGGTTAAAGAGTAGGACACCGCCAATAGGTACTGCTGCTTGAGTTTGCGAATTTTAGCTTCGCATCTGTGTGATGCTTCAATTTTTTTAAGCCGTCAATTTTGCTGCTGTTCAGTTTTTGGCTTGTTGGCCTAAATTTTCCAGTTATATGAAACAAGTGGAACAAAAATTCACCGACAGCCAAAATGAAGATGGTTATCTCAAATTTCTCCGTGCTTTTTAGTTTGGAACATCGTTTTGTTTTGTTGCAGATATCAATTTTGTTGGGGCTTAGGGTTGCGACTGGTGCTAAAATAAGTAAGCAATAAGTTGACCCATAATTTCATCTGATAGAAAAGACTTGCTCCGCACAGCATAACTTTTGCTTTAATTTTTCAAGGTTTTATTGATGGCTAGTGTTTGCCTTTTGTCATGGGACCGTGGCGCAGGTTCGAGGTATTGAGGCTTCAAATATTCAGGTCGGCCGTTTGATTTCGGCACAACGCAAAAGTCTATTTATTTTAACGGTGCTATGTTTTTTTTTGCTATTCTCTTGTTTTTCAAAGTTGAATTTTTTGTATAACTTCAAACTCGTCTTTTCTGGCGTAACTGGCCTTGTGGTTTTGTTTCAATTGTCAATGTTGTTAGTAGTGCTAAATTTTGGGCCGGCTTACAATCTAGTAAGCAATAGTTGACTAATAACTGATTTTCATTTGATAAAAAAGTTGCGAGCATTAAGGTAGCTGATGCTTTTAACACTTCCGTCAAATCAGAACGAGGTAACCCACTGTTTGTACCAGGTACTCAAATTGTCTGCTCTGAAAGCACATATCTGCTGTTCCCAGATCTTCCGTTATCATTCAAAAAAATGACAGAATCATAGAATCATTCCGATGGGTTCATTTATTAGAAACTCAAACTCAACGTCTTCTTTTGCTTACCTTGCGTATTGTTTTAAACATTTTGTTTTAAAAACCTAATTGCGTTAGGATTGCACGATTTTTGATCGGTTCGAAATCTAGTAAGCAATAAATTGACCCACAACAGCGCATTAAGGTAGCTTTAAATGTTATCAAAACATTTTTTGGCTTTCTTTTTTCGTTCTTAAATTTCGTTGAATTTTAATAGCTCAAATTTTTTTGTGAGTGTTGTTTGAAGACTGGCGATGGCCTTTGTCTTTTTATAATCTGATTTTATTTTGTAACAGAAAAAAGTGAACGGTTCCAAAAGTTGAATTTGCTAGTGGTAAAAGTTATAGTTAGAAATTAACTGCAAGTTTATTTAACTTTTAACTACAAAAAATGACTACTTGTTTGTGCAAAGGATCTTTTGCAGCTAGCTTGAAGTCTCGTAGATCATCATCAAGTGTGGTTTTGTAGCCAATCCCTTTTGAATTCCAAAATAACACAAAAAGTTCTATAAATAAAAAGGCGGTCTAATCGTTTCAGTTTTCACATTGTTTTACGAAGTTTGCACAGAGAAACAAGGATAGCCGGTTACTGTGCAAGTAGCACCGAATGTTCCGACCAGTCTTGAAAAATACAAAAAGCTTTTTTTTTACAAATTGTTATCGTTTTTTTTCTGCATGTGATAAAATAATCTGAAAGAAAAAATATAATTTAGGCGTATTTGAGAGTCATAGTAAAAAAGGGCAATTGGAAAACAGTTTTTGAGGAAAAATGACTCGAAAAACCAAAAAAAAAAAAGTTTTTTTTTTGGAATTTTCAAGATTGTGATTCCCAAAATTGCGCTAAAAAACTCTAGTAACTACCTTTACTTGAACAAAACTAAGTATTAACGGTTGAAATTAAGCTTAAATGAGCCATTGTAAGCATATATGATCACCGTATTAGATCGAAATGACACCAAAAATCAAAATTTCAAACCGGTTTTTCTCGACACTGAAAAAATTTCATTTTGTTTTTGATTTTTTCAATGTTCGAATCACGACTGAAAGGGCTTTAATATGATATATCACTCAACCCAGTCCGATCATTATTTGTGGTATCTGATTTTGCGTGGAAAATTAAAAAGCAAAAAAAAACAAACACCGGAATACAAAGTTCCTCCCCAGTTTCAATTGTCGGAACAATAAAAAGTAATTTTTAAGTTTTGACTTAAAGTGTAGTCTAAATTTAAATAGTAAATCTGAATTGCACTTGATATTTTTGTAAAGCTAAATTTTTCTGCGATATCAGACCCTACCTTTCAGAACCGCTGAGTTAACACTAAAATAACAAAAACTAGCGTGTAACGCACCTCCGGTGCTTCGAATTTTTAACAACTCATAAAAAAACCGTAAATATTGGAAATAAAATATGCATTCTTTGATTGTACTCTGACAGCATCAAACTTTAGGCTTCGTTATTTTTATTTAGGTTTTTTATTTACGTTTTTTCTTATTCAAATTTTGACGAACCTTAAAATATAAACCTTTGAATCTCGGATAAAATAAATCTCGGAAATTGAATGCAAGTGAGCAGTCGCTTTTAGACGCCAGATTTGCAATGCCTGAGAGTACTCGCACAGTACCCAACTGCAGGTTTAAACTTCAAATTTTCATAAGTTTTTAACTTAGGTTTTCAAAAAAAAAGTTTTTAAAAAAACAATTCAAAACGCCAGATGTTTAAAAGTACAAAGATTTGACTATTTATAATTAGAGGCACAATTTGCAATCCCTGAAAGTATTCTGACACCCCCAACTACAGGGTTGGGAATTTCCAACTTTGAAAAACTTCAAACTTAAATTTTCTAAACATTTTTTTAAAAAAAACTATAAAAGACGTCATATGTCCAAAATTGCCACGATTTGGGCAGTCACAATTGGAGGCAAGATTTGCAACCCCTGAGAGTACTCTGAGATCTCCCAACTACAGAGTTAGGAATTTCAAGTTTAAAAAAAATTATAAAATTTTAGTTATCTAAAACATTTTTGAAGAGTCACAAAAAGCGTCATATCTTGAAAACTGCAAGTATTTGAGCAGTCATATTTATAGGGGCAGGACTCACAGTCTCTGAAAATACTCTGACAACCTCCAGTTACAGGGTTGGGAACTTTGATTTTGAAAAAAATATAATTAAGTTGTCTGAATTTTTTTTGAAAAAATCACAAAAAAACGTCAGATCTCGAAAACTGCAGAGATTTGAGAAGTCATAATTGGAGGGAAATATCGCAACTCTTGGAGGTACCCTGACAGAGCCTCACTATGGAGAAAGAAACATCAAATTCTGTGAATTTTTTCAATGTCTAAGTTCTTTGAGCAATTTTAAAAAAAGACATAACAAACGTAACATCTTGGAAACTAAGAGCAATAGAGTAATCGCATTTGGATGCAAGATTTGCAATTTGGATTTCCTGAGAATATTCTCACAGTAAGCAACTACAAGGATTTTTGATTTTTTTGAAATCTAAGTATTCTGAAAAAAGATTTGAAATAAACTTGTTGAAGTAAACTACAAGGATTTGAGCTGTAATAATTGAAGGCAAGATTAATAATCCTTGAGAGACTCTGACAGCAACCAACTACAGGGTTGGAAATTTCCAGTTTTTGTAAATTGTTTTTCTAATTTGAGTTTTCTGAAAACTTTTGAAAAATTCACAAAAATCGTCGTATCTCGTACTCTAACAGGATTTGGGCATTCATAATTGCGGCCAAATTCGCAAACCCTGGCGTTTCACTGTTGGGCTGCTTATTTTAAACTAGGTGAAATAAACTCTGAACACGAACTGGAAAATCAAAAAATATTTCTTAACCAATACAACATACGATTTGGTCATTCTGGGGAATCCTTATAGCATCCCATCATTGGGTTAATTGATGAAATAATCCTTGACATCAAACTGGAAAATCGAAAAAAAAATCTTAATCATTGCAATATATGATATAACTTAAACGTGAAAAAATTCTTTCGTTAAACATGCAAATATAAAACAATGAAAAAGCTTAAACATGGCGAGATAGTGACGCCCGCATTTAAATAAATAATAAATTCTTCTGAAAAAGTCAAACTCATTTGCAAGTAAAGCTCAAATATTGTGAATTTATTTCTCAACTTTTTGCTGATTTAACAATAGAGTTCACCCGTTTAAAACACTAGCTCAGGTTTTTTGAATCGTAGTTGATGAATATGAATAAAATCGAAATAAATTTACTTTGTAAGTTGTTTTAGCCGCTATAGGCACAGGAAATAGAGAAGTTTTTCATTACTGCTCGTCCCAGTTGTTTCCAAAAGAATTCTCAGCTTATGCGAAGGCTGCTTTTTTTGAATGCATTATACCTTAAAATTATTTTGAAGCATGCATGAAATGTAGATGCGAGGCCGTCAGTCTGCTAATATACAGGTCGGCGGCTGGATACCGGCGCAGAGCAAAAGTTTTCTTTTTCAATGCTTTGTTGGTGGCTGGTGTTTGCTTATTGACAAGCTAACATGGCGCAGATTCGAGGATGCGAGACTCTGAATCTACAGGTCGGCCGTTTGATTTCGCTTATAGCAAAAGCTATATTATATAGCTTTACCTTTTAGTTTAATGTTTCTTATTTTAAGCGCTATTTTTTGTTAGTCTCCCAAGTGCAGCTTGAGTTTTGTGTATAAATTCAACTTTGACGTCTTCGGCTTAAAATTGCATTCCAAGAAACTTTTCTTATTCGTTTTTGGTGTTTTTTTTTCATATTCATTTTATAATGTTTGGAAATTTGTACAAGACAAGACACTTGCTCTCGCAGGTAGCAAGTGTCTTGTCTTGTAATCGGAAACTTGAATTTTTTCCTTTAAACCACTTTTCTTACAAAAAAAAATGTTGAAGTTCCTTTTTTAGTGAACCTCTGCAACTTCGAGACCTTTTTTCGGTGAAAATGAAATTGACTTTTTTCGTGAAAAATCGAATTGCCAGACTTTCGTTTGTCTGCTTATGTTTTGTCGGCTTAGTTGCCACATCCTGTTTTTTTTTCTTTTGCCGTCAGCAACTTTATCGTAGATGGAAGTGTTCTTAGTTTCCGCCTTTAATTTGTAAAGTTAATATCCCATCGTTGAATATTTTCCTTTGTTTTCATTTTCCTTACCTTAATTCAAGTCTCTTCCAAGGGAGAAATTGAGTCAGTTATTTCTATTGAAAACTTCAGGTCGTTTTTGTGAAACATCATTTCTCTTTTTAGGACATTATTTTCCAATAGCTTTTTTTGTTTGCGGCTCAATTGGCCTCTAGTCATTTGTTTTTGGCTTACGCGCCAACCGGTGAACATGTTTTTGACTGTTTTTCTAAAATCATTTAACTTTCCCTTTTTTCGGTTTTGTTACGATTTAATTTTTGGTTGCATTTTTTTCCATTTTTGTCTGAATTTCTATTCACTAGCTTGCAACGCTGCGCTTGCGTTGTATCCCAAGTAATGCTAAGCGCCTTTTTGACTATGTGTTCATTTTGTCTGTACATTTTTTTGTTCCGAGGAAAGCAATACATTGCGCCTTATTGTGATGTTTTTGAATATTTTTATCGCAATAGTTTGATCAACTATCTATGTTCCATGGCTAGTAAGCAGTTTTATGTGCATGCAAGCTAGCGTAAAAATTGTTCCGATTTTCCTCTTCTTACACGCACGTTTCATTTGCCTAATTCGAGTCAACTCAAGTCATACTTAATGAATCACAAGGGTTATAGATTGGCTCTAATGTAGTTTTTTTAATGATTTCACAAAAAATTTTCAAAACTAATTTTTTTTTTTTGAACAGAAATGTTTACGCTGTTTTTCTGGCTGGTAGTTTTGTATCAAAAATATTGCGAAGCTCCACTTTGCCTCTGTGTTTTAAAATTTCCACAAAATGTACGCCCCACAAGCAAATACTTGATTTTATTCAATCAAAAACCCTGACGTTGATGACGTTTTTTGACTTGAAACTAAGTGTTTTTCATTGCGAAACATTCAAATTAATATCGAATATACAGAACTTTTTATTAGCCATAGAACAATTGATTTCAAATTGACAACAAGACTGCTCGTATCAGGGCAAAGCCCTGGATGTTCCGACTGCCTTTTCAGGTTTATCGAGCAGCAGTAACATAAAAAAAATTAAATGTAATTTAAAAAAAAAAAGAAAAAAAAATCAAAAAATTTGAAATTTTTTATGAAATCATCACCCCACACGCCAAATAAAGTTCAAAAGAATAGATTTCGCTCATTGTAACAAAACAATTATGGCAAATAAGCTTCTCTCAACCAATTTGGAACGATTTCAAAGACGGATTAGGTCTCCGCTTACGCGTTAATAACGCAAAATATATCGCGCGTTAATAGTCCCAAATTCGCAATCTTTAAACCCCCATAATTTTACGCCCAAATGATCACAGGTGAAATATCTTTTCAAATTAAAGCTCAAGACAACAATACCATTTGAATGATATAAAAAATTCCGTCAAAAATGGCTAGTTAAAAAGTCGAAATTTGTCTGAAGAAAAAAAAACCCACCCCGAGCACAAATATTCCGTCACTTTCGTATCGAAAGTCGGAACAATAATTTTGAGCTTTTTTTGTGTCTTTTGAGGTTTTAGTAGAAGACAATGCCTTACAAAGACACAAAAATTGTGCATCAGTAATTAGTAAGTGATTTTTTCAAATTTTCTGCTCAAGTTTTGTTAAAATTAGTATTTTGACCACCGAACCTTAAATGAAACCTAACATTTTGTGCGTCTTGAATCTGGTATCATTAATAGTAAGACATCCGTCATATGGAAGCTTTACTTTGATATGAGTCGATTGAGTCGATTCTTGTGATATGAGTCGATTTTTTCCTATCTTTTTGGTTTCAAAAAAGCCAATTGGGGATACTAAAAGCGCACCATTACCAGCGTAGGAGTTTATTTGATATTTTCTAGAAATAAATCTAACTAGTATTGGGACAAGCTATTTGGTCTTATGAAATGTTACTCTGCGGCGAGAACGTATTTTTGTGTGATTTCCATAGGGTGTGTGAGGTGATTTGAAAACTTTCAATTGTTGACGTTTTTTTAGTCTGACAGTTCATCATCCTTTTTATTTTTGCGCGCTTGCGAATTGCAGCTACGATTCAGTGATTACCTGCTGTTAATTACTATTTTTTCAGTCTTAATTTTGGTCATTTCCTTCTCACTCCCTAAAAAGTAAACCTATCTGTAGAAATCTGCTTAGATAATTTTGCTATCTTTTGTCTGTTACTTTATGCTGGTTTTACGAGTGAAAGTGATATGAGCAAAAACACTGTAAATGGCTGCCAGTTATAGCAAAATGCAATATATTTCCTACTGTTTTCTATTCGAGGTGAAAAGTAATTGCAGGTGTGTCCTGAGTGCTTGTGCCAAATCGCAGCATTTTAAAATTTCTTTTTAATTCGTTGCGAAACAATTTGTTAGATCACTCGAACTGAATTAGAAGAGCAGGGCCAGCAATCACACAATAGTGTTTGGAACGAAGACGAATGCAATTCACGGAAGTACTATGCAAATTACAAACCCTGTCATAGATTTGGGATTTTTATAAATGCGCCCAATTGGTGTTTGGGATCTCATTAAATCCGTTGTTTGTAAGCAATCACTTTTGAGCTGCACATTTTGAGCGGAAAATTTTTTTATTATCTTGTCATGATTTCTCTGGCCAAGAGTTAGAATTTATCTTGCTATGTTTTTCTCATCTTAACTTCAATTTCTGACTAAAATAAAATTTTTATCAAGTATTTTATATCGAATAAGAAAACTAGAACAAACAAACTAAAAATCAAAGCTATTTATCGCCAAACTCTGGAAAATGAAGAAAACAACAAGCTAGTAAGAACAAAAATTCAAACATTTCAGTCTGGTTTGATATTCAGTTTTGTGTAGAGTCTAATAGTATCTCTGGCTGGCATTTTTTCTGAAGTGTTTCACCATTCGTGCAAGTTCAGTCATGCCCTCAAGAATCCCGTCTCCCGATGGGGCACAGCATCCTTGTACATGCCATGCTCTATCCTTCAAAGAATGCATCTTCATTCGTTCTGTCACTTCTGAAACGCTTCGACTGTGGGGCAGATCTTGCTTGTTAGCCATCAGAAGCACTGGAACACCTCGCATCCTATCGTCGGCGAGAATCGAACTCAGTTCCTCAAGAGCTTCGCCGAATCTGTCGGGGTCATTGCTGTCTACAATATAAATGAGTCCATCAGAGTTCTGGAAGTAGTGTTGCCAGAGAGGACGCAGTCTTTGTTGACCTCCGACGTCCCAGACAGTGAAGGTCAGACCGTTTCCGAGTTCAACCGTTTCCACGTTGAATCCGATAGTGGGAATTGTAGTGACTTGCTCGTTCAATTTGATTTTGTAGAGGACTGTCGTTTTTCCTGCGGCATCCAAGCCGAGCATCAGAACCCGAGATGGCTCACTGCCCCACGAATTGTAAAGCTCAAGTAGTTTCGAAGCAAAAATACCCATTTGTGTTTACTTTTTGGGGTGTTGTATATCACAAAATGTTTTATCAATTGTTTGTTGCAGTTTGAAACTGGATATATTTTTAAGGTTTGATTGTGGTAGCTCAAGGGTTTACTTCTAGGACAATTTACTTGTAAAATTAGGAGGCTGTTTTGTTGATTTGAGAGAAATATTTGATTATGAATTCGATGGTTCATTTCGTACCTTTTATACCGTTGATTGAGCTGCGCAAATAATTCCAGCGTGGAACGTTTGAGCTGTTCAATTTTGTGCTGGTATATTATTGAGAATGAACGCAGTATCAAAAAGTCTAAATTTAGTAAAGCATAAAAATTTGCAATTTCAAATGTAACACGTGTGTCTGCTTCTATTCATGTAAAAAACATGCCTGCAATCATTAGTTGTAAGATATTTATTAAGCCGTCAAAAAATAATAAAAGGAAGAATTTTACAAAATAAAAGATTGGATCAAAGTTATCTAAAAAAAAACAAACTCCTTCATTACAATTTTTTTGCCAAGAAACCAGAACTTGGACCAAAGACAACTTCAATTTACCCCTGCAATTTCATTACGAGGCCAAACTGTGCATTTTGTGCATTGTAAACGGATTCCGCAACAGGCCAAAATCAGATTTATCGCGGAATCCGCAACATGTCTTCTTTTCTTTGATCTTCTTTGCTGTTTTAGATTCCACAAACAAAACCTAAAATATTGTACGGCTCAAAATCGCTCCAAAAATAGACAAATTTGCGGAATCCGCAACTGTATTTGTAGAATCCAGAACAGTTTGTGGGATCCACAAACAAATAATAAGACATGTGTATAGTTACATTGAGCTGTTGCGGAAACTGCAAGCTGGATCCCCAAATTGTAAGTGGAATCCGAAAATTGTAAATGGAATCCGCAAATTGTAAGTTGAATCAGCATTTTGTTTGCGGATTCCACTTATATTTGCGGACTCCACTTACATTCTGCGCATTCCACTTACATTTTGTGTATTTCACTTACAGTTTCGGAATCCAGAACAACTAGCTATATTTGCTTGTTGCGGAATCCACAACAAAACAAAGGTGCCGACAAAATTTACGTTACAGTTATTTGTACGCGGAATCCACGAAACTTTTGTATGTGGAATCCACTTACTTTTTGAAACATGCACAATCCAGGAACATACAGACACAAAAATGTGCTCCTATTCAGTGCACAGTTTGGCCTCGTAATGTTTGAGTTTTTCTACCTACTAATTTTTGTGCAAATTTTTGGGTTGTTGAAGCCGAAAAAACTCATACCAGCTCAAACTTAACGATAATCGAACTCGATAGGAGGATGTTGATTTGGTCTATGCTGCAATAATGATAGCATTGTGAAATTTATTGTCAGTTGTGCTGATGTTAATGCTGCCTGTTTTAGGAAGCGTAAATTTTGCTATTTGTTGGATACTTTGAAAGCTATAATAGAAATTTGCGCTGAGGACATTTCTCTACAAAACGAACGAGCCGCATTTTTGTTCCGACTTTCGATACGAAAGTAACGGAAAATTTGAGCTCGGGTGGGTTTTTTTTCTTCAGACAAATTTTTACCTAGCCATTTTTGATAAATTTTTTAATATCATTCAAAAGGTATTGTTGTCCTGAGCTCAAATTTGAAAAAAATATATTTCACCTGTGATCATTTTTTGTCGAGTTATGAGGGTTTTAAGATTGCCATTTTGGCCAATTTGGGACAATTAACGCGCGATATATTTCCCGCTATTAACACGTGAGCGGAGATTTTATTCGTCTTAGAAATCGTTCCAAATTGGTAGAAAGAAGTTTATTTACCATAAATGAATTGTTACAAGGAGCGAAATCTATTCGTTTGTACTTTATTTGGCGTGTGGGGGATGATTTTCATGAAAAATTTCAAGTTTTAGAAAAAAAAATCGTTTTATTTTTTTACATTTAACTTTTTTATGTTATTGCTGCTCCTTAAACCTTAAACGGCAGTCGGAACATTTAGGGCTTCGCCCTGATACAAGCAGTCTCTTTTTTATTTGATGTGAGCTTGGAAGACGAAAATTGCCAATTCAAACCATTTGAAAAATCAGTTCCTCGGTGAAAATATTTAGTTTAACTTCCTAGAGACCGATGTTGTAGATAATTTTCAATATAACTCAATAACTCACGTCTACTACATTTTAAAAAATTTCAACGATTTGGTATCTAATCTTCATCTATTAATTTATTTCGACTTTGGTGCTTTCCCAACTTTCGAAAAAAAAATGAAACTATTGTGTTTGGGGGTTTTTTAAACCAGATCAGTTTCGGTTTTTTAACTTACAGTTTTTTGTACTTTTTGTACGATGCCAAAGCATTGATGCCCTGAGCTCAAATTAAAAATATCATTTTTTCTGTGATCGTTTCTCAAGAGGGTTTGAAATTGATGATGCGCACCATGTTTTTATTCGCAATCAAACAAGTCAGTCGAAAACAAATCAGTCGAAATTACAAAGAATAATCATCTCAGCTGAAAATGAGTTTTCATAAAATTCAGCCAAATTTGAGTTGACAAATTTTTTTTTGATTATCGCCGATGAAAAGATTGCGTGGCAAATCTTGATTCAAATTGGTTGAACTAGCTGCATTAGCGGCAAATGAATCCGGCATAATCTGGCAGAAATTATTCCCCCAAATTGAGAATAGGCCAGCTAATGTAACGCCAATAACGCTTTTGGGATCAGAAATATATCACCTGGTACGAAATATATGCAGAGTTATTCCAAAACTTTTTTTAAAAAAATCAGTTTCTTTTTCAAAAATAGTTCAGATATTTTAAAGGGCAGTCCATACCTTCAGGGTCTGTCTCTGATACAAGCAGTCTTGTTGTTCCGACTTTCGGTACGAAAGTAACGGAATATTTGTGCTCGGGGTGGGTTTTTTTTTCTTCAGAGAAATGTCGACTTTTTAACTAGCCATTTTTGACGGAGTTTATTTATATCATTCAAAAGATATTGTTGCCCTGAGCTCAAAACTGAAAAGATATTTCACCTGTGATCATTTTTCGTAAAGTTATGGGGGTTTAAAGATTGCCATTTGGGACAATTAACGCGCGATATATTTCGCGCTATTAACGCGTAAGCGGAGAGTTAATCCGTCTTAAAATCGTTCCAAATTGGTTGAAAGAAGTTTAATTGCCATAATTGATTTGCTACAAGGAGCGAAATCTATCTCTTTCTATTTTAGTGTGGGGGGATGTTTTTCATAAAAAATTTCAAATTTTAGAAAATTTTTTTTCATTTTATTTTAATACATATAATTTTCAATGTTATTACTGCTCCATAATACCTTAAAAGGTAGTCGGAAAATTCAGGGCTTCGCCCTGATACGAGCAGTCTTGTTATTCTTGTGATCAAACGTTAGATAATTCGAGATAAAGGATCGAATAAGCCAGGAACTGCAAAACTTTTTTCTCCTTTTTATTAAAAACTAAATCGGTTAATTGATATGACTTGTTCGGCACAAAATTAAGGTGTGTGATTTTTCCGTGAGAATTATATGGTTGGAGTGCTCGACTTCTAGCAGTGTACATGGAATTCACATCGAGTTGACTTCGAAACAAAATTCTGTCGGCTCATTTTCCAATCTTTTTTTAACCAACAAATTCACTACATAGGTTTCATATCCTCAATGTATGCACGCTTTTTTAAGTGGCGAATATTGCGACCCTTTCAGTTTGGATCTTATGACTAATATACTTCAGCTCATTTTAGTATACTTTTGAGCCGGACAACTTTCTGTTTCTAAATTTTTTTGTAATTCTTGGATAAAGGATTTTCCTAATGATAAATTTTATATGTTGTTTCGGTGATAAACATAGAGATGTCCCAATTTGTTTCATTGGTCAATATTTTTTTTTATCTGAGCGGCTTTTTTTAACGCTTAGCGCCGGTGTCAAACAAATCTGGCAGAATTTGCCTCAAAAGTCATTCCAAAAGAATTTTGGCTAGCTAATTGATCCCTAGTTCAAATTAATGTGGCTAGCTAATTGATCCCTTGAAATTAATTGCGCCGATACAAGCAGTCTCGTAACTGGAACCTTTACGCCGATACAAGCAGTCTCGTAATTTTTGCAATCAGCTGTCGGCTTGTTTTTCTATCTCTTTTCCTCAACGGTTCCATTCATGGGATTTACAAAAGTTCATATATTTTTGTTTTTATCAGTGCATATGCGGTGTTTTTGTGCGTTTGGTCAATGATATTTTTTATCAGATTGGGTCCTTTTTACTAAATTTTTGATTTTTTTGTTCATCTCAAGCCACTGCTGTTTTCTGTCATTGTCATGCTGTAACTTTTTTATAGTTTCTAGAAAAATTTTGCGATAATGAAAACGTTTATATATCATTTTAGTGATAAACAAAAAGATGCGCTTAACGATTTGAACAAAAACCTAGTGCTGAGTTTTTTGCGTTCTACTTCTTGGATGTTTTTTGAGATGTAATAGTAATGTCATTTTGGAGGAAAAATTATCCAAATCTTAGCAAATTAAGGGATAGATATCAAAAAGCAATACTCCTATCTACATCTAAGTGATCAAACGCATTGGTTGATTCTGATTAAATTGATGAAACTTCAAAGCGTCTGATACATTCAAACGGAGGTATTGTAACAAGGAATTTGCCCATCGAGTTGGCCACATACGCGGATTATGGCGAACACAGAAAAAATTCGAGACCATGGTTGAAAAAAATATTGTTGATGAGTATTTTTTTTCGGAAAAACGAGGCATGAAACACTGACTATGACTTATATCTTAAGATTTACTGTTTTTTCTCATTGTACGCTCATTGAGATGTTGAATTAGGTTTCGTTCAAAATTGTTTTTGACAGAGGAAAAATAATATATTTTTTTATTTTTTCATTGTTTGCCATCAATAGTTTTACGAATGTTTTTCAAAGAAAAAACTCTGGGTACTAACTATGGATATGTAGCAGACTATAATCAGTATTTGAAGTGTTTATTGTTTTGCGATAGAAAACTATTTACCATCTTTTGTCTGCGAAATTACCTTAACATGTTTTGACCATATAGTTACATCGAAAATGGTCAAAGTACAGTTGACAATTGAATGTTTAGTCTCTGACAATTTTGCTTTGTTTTCCCGGTACTTTTTAAAACTAAACTAAATAATCACTGCATTTGAATATATTTTTTTTCAAAACATAGTTTTTGAGAAACAATTGTGTTTATTAAAATTGATGTTTTTCAGATCTAGGACTTGAGTTTTGAAATAATTAGTG